TGCCAACACAACTAGATATGGGAACCTTTGCACTGTGTACCGACGACCGCTTAACTCGAATGTATACATTGAGGTGCTTTGACCTTAGACGATTGCGCTTTTCGTCTTTGATGTAGTTCATAGCAGAGAACACACGCTTGTTCTCCACAAAGCCTATTGGAATAACTAGCATAATTGCTGCCAACTTGCAAAAAGCACTCAATGTGTTTGACAAGATGTCATTTCCTAGTATACTCTTCCAAAATGACTGGATTGTGCCCCGATGGCTGCCCTCCTCCACAGCATTTTGCATGAGAGCCTTGAAGCTATTCTCCAGCAATTCTACCTCAATACGATCTACTAAGGCTAGCACTTCTATCTCATTGGCCAGTTTGATGATCTTCCCAGATCTGTTGTACAAGATGTTTAGCTTGATACCAATATCTTCATCAGAAGGCTTCTTCAGCCAATAGGTACGCTGCAAAACAGCAAAGGCCTCAAGCACTTCAATCCGAGGAAACCTCCTTTCGAGGTCAGCCACTATGACCTTGGCAGTGTTTGTAGCTGATTTCTTTGCACGACCCTGAGCTGCATGAAAGCAGCTCTTAGTCACCATGATAATTTCTGTGTGCTCATTTGCTCCAGCCCCAGGCACTGTGAATGTGTTGGTGATGGCGTGCATTGACACATCATACTTCTTGGCATTGGTGTCAAACTGCAAAGTGTCATCATCACTCAAGCACAACAAGCTAAGCTTCCTACGCTCTCTGTCATCAATCAGCTCAACAAAGTTTTTCCACACTTTGCTTGTGAACATCTTGTCGCCCTCTAAGTATTTTGCTTCAATGCCATAGATGTGTTGTCAACCTGGACACGCACTTGATCAAACAACACATCCCGCTGCTGACAGAATTTGCTGAGATACTGCAACAACTCAAATTTCCGCATGAAGACCCGGCAGCCAAACATGGTATTGATCTTCATGAACTGTGCATATAGCTTCTCAGCAGCCAGCTTGGTTTTCTTGTTGGAATCTTTGGAGATCATGTCATCGCACAAAGCGCTGATGAGGGATGCATACTCCATGATGATGTTTGACAAGGAGCCCTTCATTGATAGCCATCTAACATCATGCACACGGTGCATGCTTAACCCGGGTGTGTTGCAAGCATCTGCATGGTACTTGAAGCCTACCCAACTTGAGGTGATCTAGCAAAGTACGAATGAGCACCCTTGACGACTGCCTCAATTTGTACATACAGATCATCGTCTGTGATCACACCACCCACAAGAGCAGTGTTATGGACTGCACAATGAACTGGCAACATGGCAGAATCCACCTAGCTGACGAGCTGCGTTGCTACTCCGACATGGCAACACATGATGTTAGACGCACCATCACTGCCAAACACAACAAGCTTGAGATTTAGATCCTCCCCATACATGCCTAACACGTTTTGGACAGACCCGAGCAGTGCTTTGCTAAGAGACGTAGCGTTGATATTGATGAGTGGTTGAAGTATGAGGAATTCATACCTGCGCTGGCCGTCCTTGATGAACAAGATATCTTGGGACATATACTAAGTAAGATCATATGCGTTACTGTCATCGATGGTGAGTGCGATGACGGGGGAGGCATTGACACGATGCTTGAGCTCCTCTACCAAGACTGCATCTAGGGCATCAACCATTTCCCAGCTAGAATCATCTGTCCAATGGGATCTGTCAATATGTTTGCATCTAGCAGCACAGAACATGTCCGCGATATCAAGAAAGCTGCAAACGAGATGAATGTACGTAAGCCACAATTCAACTAAGCTTTGAGTAACAGCAAGAGCGTTGTTTTTTGGAGTCTGCAAGTTGCACATCTGATATAGAGGCCGGGTTGACTACTAGCAACAGTCCACAACAAAGACTTACGCGTTCATTGGACGGCCCTTGAGCAAAAGGTAGACAATTGCTTGAAGCTGCACCAACTTCTTGCGTTTTGCATCGTCATGGGTGGTGTTGATGGCAGCCTGAATGATTTGTTGCTAGAGTTGACGGAAGGAGCTGAAGCAGCAAGACAAGGTCAGCAGCTTGAACCCTAGCAAGCGGAGTCCAATGGCAACAGGCAGTAGTAGAAGCAAGTCAAATCTGACAGACATGAGAGCACCCAATGTGGTTCATACAGGGCAGCTTCTTCGAGGTCCATCTTGTCGCACTGAATCTGGACGTTCTTATGAGCTTGTGTTAGCGTGCGTTTTCCAGGTGTCAAACTTCAGCATAGATGTGCCGACTGCCATACCACTTTTAAAACCAGCTCTTCTGCACACCTCACAGTGCGCAACCTTTGTAGTGCTGTTGAAATGCAGCGAAGTATACAAGATAGTCCAGGCTGATTTGAACTGCCAGTTGACGTTTGTTGAAGCATGATCACGCTTTGGTTTCTTTGCAGCCTGCTGGTTCTCAGTAACAGGTGTGTGGGAGATAGCACCAGCTGTACCATGGGCTACAACAGGTGTAGCAGCTTGATCCAGTGCGGTTGGCTGAGAGCTGTCAGGCTGAGTGTTAGGCCCAACTGCCATATCAAGGATGGGAACATCTGCTGACTGAGCAACGTTTGACCTAGTCATGGTATTCTGCTGAGTTTGGTCGTCCTGCATCACAAGGATCACAAACTTCTTAGTTTGAAACAGGCTTTATGGGTAACGACAATCAACACATAGCTTGAGATTTAACGCAAGAGATGTTCTCACCGCTGGCAGTTCTACGACGTGGCGCATCCTTTTTCTTCTTCTTGCCAACGGCCAAGGCTTTGGCTTTGGCGGGGTCTAGGATATTAACAGATTGTCTACCAATGATGGCCAAGTACGTGCCTGGAGCTGCCTTCATCGAAAGGGGACGGCCTAGGCGGTTGATACTGTTACCATCACCAATCAGAACACAAGCTATCACAACAAGAGACAGACAAATAGCCCAGACAGACATCGATTTGCCCTTGCACTGCATTTTGAACAGCAAGAGCGGGCATCGAAGCTAGTAATCAAACTAAGGTCAGGACATCGTTGCAGAAGGGTTACCTGTCGCATTTATATTTGGGTCACAGACTGCAGATTTTACCCACTTTGAGCTGTGACGTGGGGTTTTTGAAACTTCACCGCCAAGCGCCACCACCATCTGTTCAAAGCACCGGGGTTTTGACAGGCACCGCCGTTTTGTACTGGAATGCACTGGCATGCAACTTCCTCCAAAGTAAACGGTCGGAAGTGACAGCAGACTGCAGCTGCACTTAATTTTGCTGCCGCCTCAACGTGGTGGTAGCCTTTGGCTGCATTATTTTTCAAAAGCCAGATTGTGGCGGCATTCGTCCGCCACAGTTAGTTAAAAATTGCCACATTTCGGGTTGACTTATTAAAAAATCGCCACATTGGCGGTTAACCGCCACTAAACGAAACTCTGTTCACCCTCAAGGGCCATGTCCACATGTGAAGAGTAAAATATTTAGTATAATCTCAATGTCCGGTGTAACACATACCATGGATATATATATCCAACACCGGCAACCAACCTAGCTATAAATAGCTAAAACTTGAGGTTGCTCTTTGATCGTTGCTAACCTCAACATAAATTATTTTTTATTTCCAAATTTTTTATTTAAATATTTTTACAAATTATTACAAATATTATGCATGCAAAGAATCATAGTTTTTTCAAAATTTCTTATTAAAATCTGATGTGTTGATTGTTTTCTTCATAATTAAATGTATGAAATTTGAAGATTTTTCATGAATGATTTATAGATTTTGAATTATTACTGATTGACTTTGTATGAAATTTTAAATATCTTTTCTCATGGTGAAATTTTGAATTTTGATCTACTTAAATACATAGTGATCACGCAAATAATTTGCTAGGGAATGCATCAAATTACTTAATCAACAAATAAATTCAAAAAAAAACTCAAGCCGTAAATGTTGTGGTGTTTAATTCTATTGATCATAGATATTATGATTTTAAAAAATGATATAAGGTTAGTGTTTGAATCTAAAATTATTCACATTTATTGATTACTGATTATTTTTTATTTTACTTTTTTTGGTTTACTATTATCAAGTAACATTATCATTGTTGTTTTAGTTAGATATTGATTTCGATTCCTTCATTTGATTTGAAAAATCAAGGGAGAATTTTGTAACAAAATCATATTTGGTTGACACAATAATCAATACAGGTCCACATTAAAAAAATATTCATGTACCAAATTTTCCACCCAAAATTTTCGTAAGTGGTGGAGATAAAATAGATCTTACTTTGCATACATTTTTATTCATTTCATAGGGCTTTTAATCAAATATATCCAGGAAATTTCTTCAACATCAGCAAAACCAGGGTGAAGCCATAGATTACTATTTTGCTCATGTTAACACTTTTAAGAATCATACAAGAATGCGGGTTGCAATTATCTTTCAAAGTGCAAGAAGAACAAGCTCCTATACACGAGCTCTTCAATTGTATCTTTGGATATGTCTCGTAAAGCGTTTCTTAGTGTGAGTTAATATCCACGAGGCTCTAGTTTGCTCATTAGGAAGTGTGTTTACTTGCTAGCAGCATGTTCTACTAGCGCTTCGGGGTTCTTCTAGATTCCAGACTAAAGATTGTGACACCAAAATCTTTCACATTTGAAACCCGAACTCTCTCTATTGGGAGTCGACTAAAGTAAAGTAATGTGATCGGAGGTGGTTGGGAAGTGTACAAAACTATTGTCGACGGAAAATAGTAAAATGAAAGCTTACATACACAGAAAAATTTGCCAGCTATAATTTAATTATGATAAACCTGTCATTAACCAGAATTTAGAGATCTAGACCCTTCTGATTCCGATCTCGCTGCCCCGTAATCAACAACGAGCCCGTCGCCGAGCCGCATCCCTTCTTTTCTACGGTAAAGATAGAATTAATAAGGAAGGACGAGGCTCTGACTACTCGAACTCACGCACGTACATTGCAGAATAAAGGCACTGTGGCATCATGAGGATCTGTGCGTACGCATCGACTCGAGAGCTCTGAGGACAGAAAAGTTGCGGGGGTGTGCCTTGCGCTCGCTGGTCGAACACCGCGAATTTGAATCTGGGGTGAGCACGAGGGTGGGGATTGGCGATCGAGGATGAGCAGCGATTCGGGAAATCGCAGAGCTGAGGCGGAAGCTGAGCGTGGACCGCCTTTGCAGCCTCAGCAGTCGTCATGTCGGAAGAAGAAGGCCGACGTGAACGAGGGATTTGTCAAGGATGTGATGGATCACATCAACGAGTTTGTGAACGCGTCGTATGATGAGCACAAGACTTGTCTGACGAAGACCGTCCGTAAGGTGAGTTTCGGAAGGGTTCGGATTTCGAATTTCGGGTTGTTCCTGTGCATGTTCGTTGGGGTTGGCTGCTTTGTGATCTCTCTGATGGTTATCTGTATTTGCAGCTCTTTGGCGGAATGTCGAAACTAGGGCAAAATCCACCAGCTTCAGCACCTGCACCCGTTGTCAGCGTCTTACCACTGCGAGCCAATATCTCCTCCGATTGACAGGGACAGTTTTTTATGAACGCGAAGGGGTGACTTCCTTTCGGAGATTTGTGTATTTGCTGAAGGTTCCAATTAGGGTGCTTTCGACAAGTTTTTGATGTATATACAGTAGGCTTTTACGAATTGAACGGAGCAATTGTTTATGTGCACAGCATAGAAGTAAAGTTAGTATCTTGTTGACTCTTCAACTTTGAGCGTGAGGATATTTTTGGAGTTGTTTGTTGGAAAGTTATCAACATAATTGCATCATTCTCACTCTTGGGAAGCTATAGCATGCACCTCGATTTCCATCTCTTATTTTTCCGCTCCTAAATTCTTTGTAAGTACGGGTTGTCTGATTAGTAATCTCTTTCGTAGAGTATTAGACACATGCAATCTCGTCCTAGTCCAGTTCTTGGGATTCAATGTGATAGCTTTGTCCCCTTGGAGTTGCTTACACAGCAAGGCTACTTCGGAAGCTCGGGTTTGAGATTGTCAGATATGGCTCGCTTCGAAGTTTGTGGCTTACACTGCGCCTGGATGTCTGAAACGATTGAAAATCTCGGATCTTGAGAGGGAGTTCTGATTATGTACTCTGTTTCACGATTGTTTTCACTCTAGGTTTCATGTGTCCTCTTTGGCCCCTTTACCTATCAACAGTTAGATGGGGCTTCCAGTCGATTTTTGTTATGTTTGTTCCAGTTTTTCGTCTCCTTAGATACATCTTAGCTCCTACGATCAACCTTCTATGATTAGAATAACCATGATCCGCAAGCGGAATCGAAAATTTGCATATCCTTCTCAATATTTCGCCCACGGATCAGAAACTTGAAATCAATAGTCTTAAAGATGGTGTAGCCATGTTGACACCCTTGCATAGATATACCCATGTCCCATTGTTTTTGCTCATTGTCGACAATGACTTCTTCCACCGCTTACACTTTTGCTCATGAGTCTCGACAGTACTCGAGTACTTTGAAAAGGGTCGGCTATGAAGGATTGTTTGTAGCCTTGTTGAAGACACGGCTACAAGTAAAGGACCAAAAGAAGGGAAGGATCACCCGTGCCAACGTTGATGGGACAGACAGGTGATATTGTAACAAAGTGAAATTCGGAAAAGTTTAGTGCATCCCTGATTTCTATATGCTTCATTTACTACAGGAGTTCAGATATGGGCACAATCAAGCAACACAAAGAAGGAACTATCCAGAAGTAGTGTGGGGAGAACGGTTCTTGCTAAACAGAGGACAGACTATGCCTTTTGTCAGCGGCTGGTGTTCGGCGTGTGTGTTCAGCTCAGGTGTTCATGGTGGCTATGCACTCCTTGCTGAAGAAACATGGGCTAATAATGAAGCTGAGGATGATATACCCTCGGAGAAAGTTCCTTATTGCGAGACCTCTGAGTATCGTTCATGACGTTGGTTTGGCTTTTGGCTGCCAAAATTATATCCTGAGCTGTTTTCATCACCATATGTGCTGTTCAAATACAAGCGTATAATTGCACGTGCACCATAATGGCAGCGAAATCGTTGGGGGCTGTGGGAATCTGCCGGTTCGGAGTAGATCCGGCTGTTCCTGGGCTGCGTATATACTCAGCTTGGTCATTTCCGAATGTGCAATATACAAAGAGGAACAGCTCCAGAAGGTCATGAGGAACGGGCGCAATATATTCTAATCAACTTCGGAGCTTGTATGTCCTGCTGGCAGCCAAAGACTTATATGGTCTTCAATTCGTAGTAGTCGTCCAGCATTTACATGTTAAACAAGTGTGTGTGCAGAATAGACGAGTAATATAATACGAATACCATAATCTGATATTAGTATACCTGTACTGTAACTTCCCTCAACAAGAACTTGAGCCTCCTCCCGCTCGGCTTGATGTTCCTGGCCTTGCATGGTTGGATCAGCTACTCAAGGATTTAAATGCATGACCTAGTTTTTATTTGACAATGAAGTATCTAGAAACCTTATAACCAATATGAGGATGTGTAGCTTGCGACACTGTTTATGGCTGAGCAGTGTCAAGTTTGTGACCATAGTTATTACAGAAAATGCTTGGCCGTTGTATAGCAGTACATGATCTCCATGTAGAGTACTATGCTGGATTGGTGTCGCAGTTCCCACTCGGCACTTTCATCAACAGAATTGTGAGAAAAAAATTCGTGAAGAAATCTCCACTTTCATCGTTGCATATATGTTCTCCTCCATCTTATGAATGGTGGTATATTTTTACGTTAATATGGATTTATTAATCGTTAAATTTTATTTCTTCCCCCACTAATTTGAAGCATTCGTTGTATGTTCGTTAAAAATGTTGACGTCTCATTATTTTTGCTGTTTTTCCTGAATTTTAAGTTTCAGCAAGATTGGAATGCAAAATTTTATATATACACAGGAAGATACATGAAAATGTTCCGTTACTTTAGTAAATGTATATATAACATGATAATTATATATCTAACAGAACATAATTATTTTTCGTCAATTTCGTTTTTCGATTTTTTGAAAATTATATGTTCGCGCGCTGCTGTGACGTTTCTTCTCTTTCATACAAATAGTTTACGACATTACCGAACAAACTAGTCAAGAGAAATTTACTGCTGCCAACTTTAGCTACAACCTTTGCTTGTAACATGAAAAAACAGGGAATAAGCACGAGCTCAATAAGCTGAAGCAGCAATAGAAGCAGTGTAATGTCCACGACAATCAAATGTCCCTTTATAACACCAAAGATCCTGTACAATAGAGGTAAAGGGATAGAAACTCCGTAGAGTGTGTTCTGTAAATCATCCTCCCGAATGTGGCACGTACTCTATATTTTCAAATGTACTGCATCTACATATACACCGTACGAGAATAAATTTTTGAATCTAAAGAAAATTCCTATTGTGACATTTTCACTTAGGACCAGGCTTGTTGGCTCCAGTCTCACCCATGAGAGCATCCTTGGTTCCCAACACAGCTCCTTTCACTGCATCCACTCCCTGCTGCAAGTAGCTCGCAGTGGTATTTTTCGCTGAGACCGCGGTATCAGATGTGTACTGTCCAGCCTGTGAGGCCTTGTCGACTGTGTAATCCTTGCCTTGCACGGCCTTGTCGACTGTGAAATTCTTGGCATCTACAGCCTTGTTTTGCGTGGCAGTGGTGGTGTCTGCAGCAGTTTGCTTGGTAGCCTCCCAGCAATCAGCGGCGTACTGCGAAGCTTGACCGGCCTTCTCTTGAACGTACTGGTTGGCATCGGCAGCAGTTTGCTTCGTCTGATCCCAGACATTCTGTGACTTCTCCTGAACCGTTCCAGCCACATTAGAGGCGGTGTTCTGTGCCTGCTCGGTCTTCTCAGCTCCGATCTGCTTCGCTTGCTCGGTCTTCTCAGCTCCGAAGTTCTTGGTCTTGTCCGCTGCCTCAGCTGCAGACTGCTTTGTGCGGTCGAAGGTGTTAGCTGTGGCGTCCTTCGCTTGCTCAGTCTTCTGAGCAGTGGCGTCGTAGCTCTGGTTGTACTGGTTGGTCGACATCTTCCTCGCAACGAAGGACTCCTGGTAACTGAATGGTCTAATAAAAAGGATGCTGATGCTGGTGCTGCGCGTTCTGATGACGAGGGAGCAATGGATACGCGAATTTGAAAAGACGATGAAATCTGAGTGTGAAAGCCCTCGTCTAGCGGCCATTTATACAGGGAGAACGGGACCTGAGCTCGTTGGCTGCCGTTCAGCAGCAGAGCGCTGTAAGCAGGACGCGTGTTGTGACACTTGTCAATCCCAGGAGGATCCAATTTTCCACTCCAGTGTATGCACCGAAATTCGGTGGTTGCCTTCCAATGAAAGAGCTGAGCTGGTAACAAGAAGGTAATTCCCCATTCTAACTCCGGAGTCCGGTTCCTTGGTTTCTGCCAGCATCGAGGAAGTTACTCGATCCATCGATTGGACCGCTGGAACTTGGATTTCACCTCTCTCTTTCACCGACTGGACCATGGTCACTATCAGTTGCAACTGCAGTCAACGGCATTCGCCTTGGCTTGGAGGGTAGGCTTCTGATCATTCTCATTCTGCTTTCATCATCAGAATCTTTTTCTATTTGGAGCGCTATAAGATTGGGGCAGATCCCGCGGAGTAAACGGTATCCGCACTACAAGGTCAGAGCTGAATCTGCGGAATCTCTGGTGGACATGTGTTGAGGTCGGATTGTTACGTGAGCTCGAAGCCTTGAATCGTCACCTGTTGAGTCGCCACGTTTCTGATCCAGTGCTTGGATTTGTCCGATTTGAGATGATTGCAGATAAGGCCATGAGCTCGATAATGGAGTGGGGAGCAGTGCGGGCTATGAGGTAGTGGACGCTGCATGCTTTGTCTTCACTCAAGATGGATCTCGTTATGGCCGATCGAAGGGCCCGGTCGCACACACGAACACATGCGTGACAAGTGTCCGCATGGTTGAGGCCATGCTCCCCATGCTGCTCCCCAAGACTCGAAGGCATTGGTGGCCCCATGATCCCATCTACCTAGTTGTTCCTGCATTGCGCCTGACATTTCTCCCTCACCTTCAAGCAGCATGTCGTCGACGTTCCTGCGATTGTTTTTTTGTTGTCGTTGGCAACATTTGGCAACTTCCTCACGTCCGGCCCAAAGTGTCTTTTCTTCGCACGATTTAGAAGAAGATAAACGTTGTGCTTACTCGCTTCTTTGAGAGTACTAATTTTGTTTGTTTGCTTCAGCAAGCTTCAGACGGAGGTAGATGAAACTCGGGCTTTCGATTATAATGCATATCGCATAATTAAAAAAATAAATAAGGGAGGGGCTAGTGAAGAAAGCTCTGTGATTGGTCAGAGTCATCCCTATGTTTAATACAACTCCGTGATATAGTCTTCACGGCAGAGAGAAAAGGGGAGAAGTAGTGCACATTAGCCTAGGGTGAGGATAATTAGATAAGTAAGTATAACTAGACACTCACATAAATAAATGAATATGACAAACAATCAACGTGGAGACCTATATCAGAACCTTACTAAATGTTTTTCATGCGCACTTAGATGAATTTCGAGGGCCGACAGCATAACGTACACATACGAGAACGCGTAAATAATGTGCTTTATCACCCGCTGTGCCTAAAACCCACTATGTTCAAACGTAGAAAATATAATTCGTGTTTAATTCGAGAAAGTTGAATCAATAAGTAACCTAAAAAATATCCATGAAAATTGATTCATGAAGATCTTACGCAGAACCGTACTAGCTGTAATTGTACTTCATCATATGAATCCTTCCTTACTTTCCATTGAACAAAACAGCGTCAAGAATTTTGAAAGTGAAGAGTTGGAACCTATCACTTCTTACAAAAACGAATGAGATTTTAGGAGTTTATTCCATTAAAGAATCTTTTAATACTCAAATTTCAACAACTACTGAATAAAGTCTTTATTAATAAAAATTTTTTGATTAAAAGAGTAAAATTTTTAGACTTAGTGCAATACTGCAACTCTAACCATGAGCACAAACTTTTAAATATTGCCCAAAATAACATTCATCCAATTAAGTTTTAGAACTATTTTGATTCAAAATTTCTTTATTTTTTTACAAAATATATTAATTATATCGAATTATATTCAATTTGATAAAATAACGTCATTATAAGATTTCCAAATAAATGAGAGTAAAAATGCTGTTTTCTAAAGTTATTTTTTCCACTAGAGTGCAAATTTGACTTTCAGGAGAACTTTAATTCTGAAGTAACTAAAAGTAATGAACATAATTGAAACGCAGTTATCATATAGACAAAATATTTTAGTTACGTCGAAAGTGCCTTAAAATAAATCAAAATTCACAAATCAACAATCTATAATTTGTGAATTACAATATTGGCAGAAATATCTACTTTTCAACCTCGGTTGTTATATTTTTTAATAAATAATCGTATGGATTAATGTACATGTATTTAAAATAATCTTAACCAGCAATCCAGAACTTACAATATGAATTAATTTTTTCCATGTAATATCAAATCTCAAAGGAAGCTATAGATTAAAAATAAAAAAGTAATCAAGTCATGAAGTTTCTTCACTTATATTAGAATTGATATACTAGTTATGTTTTAAAATAGCGAAACGTGACTATAAACTGAAATTATATCCGTGTAAATTAATTCATGAAGATCTTACATAATTGATTCAATATAGTAAGATAAGATCTATAGCTAATCGAATTATCTCAAGTTCAATTGAGAATGATTGTGGAACTCGAATTAAAAACAAGTATTTAAGTTTTTGTTTTGATTTTGTAAACCAAAAATTGAAAACCAAATGATAACAATACACATAAAAATATGAAATCATCTTCACGCTATTAATATACTTCTTTATTTACTTAAGCATACAGATAAACGTACATGACATATACAATGAATTTGTAGAGAATATTTACTAAGGATACAATGATTGTTTGAATTTTTTAATAGGTTTGATAAGAGTCACTTTTTATCTGATGTAAATAACTTTCAATGTTATATAATTCAAAACTCGTTAGCTGATAATTACATTATCTTCTGTTGCAGTATTTCATTTCATGGGTTACTAGGGTGCTTTAGAATTGTGGCATATCATGAATGCAAGTAGGTTGGCAATAATGTAGCTGGAAAGGGAGTAAACAAGTTACGAATAAGTAGGTTTTATACATTTATAGAGCTATAAATAGTGAGTTATTGAGTAAACTAAAATTTATTTTCATTCAGTTTTTTTTCGGAAATTGCTACGTTTTAGAAGTTATGTACTTGTTCATTGTCAGAATTATATTTTAAAAAATAATTTATCATAAAATAATATATGAAAACTTATTATATATCATTTTCTCTTGTATTTTTTGAAGAGGTTTATTGAACTTGTGAAAGTGATATTGGTAAAAACGAATACTGAGTGTAAGATTTAGTAGAAAGTAATAGTAACAGAATTAGAGAAAGTGTGTTAAATAGGTAGATTTATTTTGTTCAAGCTGAAAATGTAAGCATTTTATTTTTCGGCCCAGTTTTTCTTTTTAGTAATCCTTTACAAAATTTGTTTTTCTTCCTTTGTTTTTAATCTTCTTTATCAGTCATATTTTTATATTTTCAATATTTCGCATATATATCATGCTATATGATATACTCTAGATATGGTGCTTCAATATGAAAAAGATCATATTAAGTATAATCTGTTCACTAATTTTCGCTTAAAAACCACATTTTCACTACTTATATAAGTAAAAAATCATAAAACCTACGAACGATTTGTCCATTCCTACGTTACAACTTACAATATAACCATGTCTCTTCTAATGAAGACAATTTCCGGTAAGAACAAAAATCTAAGAGTTGTAAGAATTTTCTTTGATTCTTCAGACTGGTATATTATATGTTCACACTTATGTAAGTGGCAAAACTTCTTTACAATTACAGACCGATTAGACTGCACATAATTTGCGAACAGTGGTAAGAAAAAATCGAGTGGCAAAACTTCCTTACAATTAATTACAGACCGAATACACTTGCATAGCTCTATGCAAGATAAGAGATCTGCCGATTATATCCTGCTGCCGCAATTCTTCTAATCGAACTTTCATATAAACATTCTACCCATTAAACCAAGGAGCATTGACAGGTCTCCTTATGTACATAGTATGAGACCAACTTCGTTGTGAACCGTGTTGTGGGTGCTTACTGTGGCCTGTTAGCACCGTGATTTCCGGTTACTGCATCTTTCACTCCCAGGTACACGCCCTTGGCAAGATCAACACCCTGTAAAAAAATCTTAAAACGTATTAGCATCCTCCTCACATGATTGCACAACACAAGAATTGGCGGTGCGAATTCAGTCGTAGCAAGAAAATAAACTTTCTGGCTTTGTAACTAACTGCCAATTATCTGGACGGCATATCATCAGTCTACTAGCATGAATTAGAATTTCAAGTCGAGTTATCTTTCTTCTTCGACGTCCCCAACAGGTACACAAATATAAATTGTAATCAAATGCAAGTGTAACTGCGCATATTGCGTAATGTAGGACAGATGAAAATCACGAGTAGCCGTAATGTGCTCTGGATTTTCATTGCGTTCCGGCATTGACTATGAAAATAATAACGAATTTTCGCAGAATCTCGACGATGCGGTTTTTCGTATTACCTGCTGCGCGTAGCTCTGAGTGGCAGCTCCAGTCTGGGAAGATTTATCGCCGGTGAAGGTTTGAGCTTCCGCAGTTTTGTTAGCCGTCACGTCTTTGGCTTCAGTGGCTTTCTCAGCAGTGACATCCTTGGCCTGGTAAGCCTTGTCTTTGACAGTCTCGGCAGTCTGCCCTGCAGTTTGGCTGGCGGAGTTGTATGCCTGAGCTGCCTTCTCCTGGACAGTGTTGGCGACGTTGGCAGCAGTGTTCTTGGTCGACTCCCAGGCACTCGCGGCCTTGTCTTGAACAGTCCCAGTGGCATCAGACGCAGCTTGCTGTACTTGGCCAGTTTTCTCAGCTCCAAATTGCTTCGTCCTGTCGGCGGCCTCGGCAGCAGATCGCTTGGCCTGCTCCGTCTTCTGTGCGGTGGTATCGTAGCTGGAGTTGTACTGATTGGAAGACATTGTCGGAGATCTTCGAACTCTCACTCAACGAGTACAAAACAAGCTAAAGATCGGGCAGAAGGAAGCGAAAGAAGTGTAAAGCACAACGATCGAGTGGAAACAACTTGCGTGAAACAGTCTGCGAGCAGTTTGTTCGGGTGGATGGTAAATGTAAAGCTGTATGTTGAAAGACCGGGCAGGAGACATTATATGCGCTGTGGTGGAAGAGCAGTTAGAATAACTGGAACTTGAAAACGCTTCTATGGCTGACGCGTGCTACTTCACTGTCGGACACATGTCCGCTTTTCAGAGATGCTAGACATTGGTAGCATGCAAGCGAAGAGGCCAATCCGCTAGGCGTCCGATCCTACGAAGCTGCCGAGCCAATGAGTCATTCAGGCGACTGACTGACTGACTACCCACGAGAAAGTACTGGGAGGTAATAGAGAACGTACTGTGAGGTAGTAGAGAACCTCAACGCCAACGTTACGGTCGGTGTAGCGAGACGTGGAAAGCTTCGTCCGCTTTCTCCTGCAAGAGAATCGTCAACTGCAAGTCTCTGCAAGTCTCTGCATTTCAGACCTGAGAAGTTGTAGTTGACATCTTGCACTGACATTCGTGACACCTGCTTTTTGCTTTTTGGGTCGAAGGGAGATCATGATTCCTGAATGAACGGCGCGTTTTGACCTGATAGCTTTCTCGTTGAGAGGCCTACGGAGAATCTGTTGTGTCATATGTCAATAGTCAATAGAAGGTTTTGTTCTTTGGAGTCCTCCCAAGATTCCAAGATACTTTCCTGTTCGAGTTGTGTGAATGAAAATAGCACAAGAAACTTGCGGTAACAATTGCTCGTAGTTCCCTGTGGCCTATAATGCTTTATCATCTGTTGTACGAAGTGAAGAGTGGATCGAAAGAAAAATAAGTTAAAAATTAAAACCATAAGCAAATTGCTAGTATAAACTGCAATTGATTGTGTAGAAAGGAATGGGTCATAAATGAGGATATAATGAAAATATCATTATATTCAATTTAACCATGGCTAAACTGAGAACTTCAAGATAAAGAGATTTATAGGAATAAAATGAGAGGAGATTCATAATGTAAGAAGAATTCCATAACAAAATGACAAACGTATATGATGTTTCTTGTAATAAGATGATTTTTTCAGTCTACGTCTCTATTTCATGTCTAATCTTCTCTACCAATATTGATTAACTTGTGACTCTCACGTTTCTCATTGACACATTTGACCATACTTCTCGTCAAGATTCTTGCATCTGAATTTAAATTTCTGCTACCTTAGCTTTTCCGTCCTGGCCTTCGGTGAGTTCCCTTTAATCGTATAATGATTTATGTTATGGGATTAAAAGCAAGTACATCTCGATTGGCTTTGATTGTATCATATTTTTTTATGGGCAATTTTGAGTGGGAATTATTGTTTCCTACAAATACATTCGGTCATTTACTAAATTAGAGATGAAATTATAGGATTTGTCGCATAATTTTTAACTGAATTATTACTCTTATGTATGGGCGGTGGAATGTGAGAGACATGTTCGTTTTCCCTTAGTTTACGTTCATTATGATCAAAGAGACTATTACAGAGTGGTTTTCAGTAATTTTCTCCATTTCGAAGGAAATGTTGTAGTGAATAATATATTATGGAAAATGATTGTAGATTAAATTTTATCAAATGTTGTATATTTATTCATTTTTAAATTTTATTTCTTTTTAAATATATATTCATACTACAAATTTGTTTTTCAGAAATTTTAAATTTATTTGTTTTGCCCCTAATTATTAATAACTTAATACGTCCTGAATACAAGATTGTACTGATTGGACGCGAGATGTGTACGTTGATACAGTTAAGTAAGTACAAAGTGGAATTCATTCAATCTTGCGTATTGTGTCAAATTGATGTGAGCACGCACACGGGTTTGAAAAGTAGCTGGATTAAGTGAAAAGTGAAAACATGAGCAGAATTATTGAAAAAACACGAGACATTCTATCAATGAAGTCTCGCCATTCTACTCAGATATGCACATTCCGCTGCGCATGATGTAATCATGATTACTGGGCACACTGCCTGCGCTACACATACATTGTCAATTCTCAAGTAAGCAATGTAACAAAGGCCTGCAACGGCAATCGTCTGAGGCTGAAATGTACGCGAACCAAAATGCTTTGAAGAATGAGAATCGGTGAAGTATAATTAATTGTGTGTTACAGTGGGCAAATGTGTTCGAAATGGCAGACAGTCAAGCCTACAGACTGGGATCTCACGTTTCCAGCCGTTTCAGTCAGGTCCTTAAAAAATCATCCTCACTACCGCAACGATTGTCGCGAACCGAGGAAACTAGTGAATGAGGTCCCAGTCTTTAAGTTGTATAGTAATGTAAATCAGGTCTATTCACAAATATAAACAACAAGAGAAAGAGGGCGGAACAAGCCAAATCTACTTAGTAGCACTCTTGTTGCCAACTACGGCATCCTTGGCACCGATCACTGCTCCCTTCACTGCTTCAAATCCCTGTGGCCACAACCAAAACAAAAGAAACAAACACCATGTCAGATGCCCATTCTACTACAAATCTTGCCCAGTGCTACAAACGCAAACCCATCGAAAAAACCCGGCATCGAATCATAACACAGATCGATCGATCGATCGATTATCGAGAAGCATTACCTGTTGCAAGACGCCTGCACTCTTGTCCTTGGCAGCGACGGCAGAATCGGAGGTGTATTGACCGGCAGAACCGGCAGTGTCAGCGGTGTAGTCTTTGCCCTGGGTGAGCTTGTCGGCGGTGAAGTCCTTGCCTTGGGTGGCGGAGTTCACGACGGCGTCCTTGGCGGCAACCGCGGAATCGACGACGTAATCCTTCCCTTGCACGGCGGAATCAACCACGTAATCCTTGCCTTGCACAGCCGAGTCTACGACGTAATCCTTGCCCTGGACAGTCTTATCGGAGGCAGCCTGGGTGGTGTTGCCGGCGGTCGTCTTGGCAGAGCCAAAGGTCTGCGCGGCCTTCTCCTGGACGGCGCCCACGGTGCTCGCGACGGTTGCCTTGGTCTGCTCCCACGCGTTCAGAGCCTTCTCCTGGACGGTTCCGGCGGCGCTGCTGGTCGTGTTCTGGGCCTGGCCGGCCTTCTCGGATCCCACCTGCTTCGCCTTCTCGGCCGCGTCGCCGGCCGATTGCATGGTGCGATCGGCCGCTCCTCCGGCTGCGTCCTTCGCCTCCTGCGTCTTCTGTGCAGTGGCGTCGTAACCTTTCTGGAAGTTCTGCTCGGTCGACATTCTCGGAGATATGTGCACCACTGCTCCCTTCGAAATTGGATCAAATGTTCCGATTCGGTACAAGCACTCTGCTGCTGCTGCTGTGGGGACGACGATGTGGCTCAGAAATGATCGCGGAAATTATCGGAGAAAGTTCGGTGCTCGGTGAAATGATGTGAAGACCTGCTTGCGGGACAGTATAAGTAGTGCCCGTATTCTTCGAATGGAACCTGCCACTGGCCAGGTGTCCCGAACGGGACGGCGTGCCGCCACCTGGAGGGTAGATTGCCACTTGTCATACACCCATTGACTTCGGCATGCAATAAGCGATTCGCCCACGTCCAGAGTTTCTCCCACTCGGACTCGGATTCGGACTCATGGTCAACCTTTAACTGCAACCCCTGGTCAGAAATGTACAGCAGGAAGTTTGGCAGGAGCTCGGTGTTTGTCAGAGTCGCAAATCCATGACATCTGTTTTCTGCCACAGGTTGGCCACCTTCCATCGAGAGCGCCCCATGAACCGTGTCTTCGAGCTGAAGACAACATCGTGTGCCGGAATCTAAAACCATTCGTGTTGTTGTAGGCTCATTCTGAACTGTAGTGGACAGCCGGAAGGATTTGAGTTGGAGTTCAGGAAGCTGTCTCGTATTCTCACCATGGTGCTGACGATGCATGCTGTGTGACCACGATCGGGGACGCTACGTGATGCAGCAGGCTTTTCTCTCTCACATTCAGAGCGCAGCAGGATGTGTTGCGGTGTTCGGAAAAGTTCGCGTATGTCCTTGCGTTTCAGCGTGAGCTTTCATATTGTTTGAATAAGAAACCGGTTCAGTGGCGAGCTGCAGGTTTGCAATGGCTGCATTGTCGAAAGGGTATTTCAGTTATACAGGTGGATATTGGAAGCTATGGTATTGGCATTGACATCAATCGACGGTTTTTATCAGCTTTAATGCCTTCCGATCACGATGTTCTGAACAGGGTACGATGTAAGCAGCTTACTGCACACTTTCTCTGTGGACGTTCAGATATATCTGTAATTAGTGTAAGTTACGCGTACATTGTTTATAAGAGATTGCGCCACCTGCGGAACAGTCGAGGTAGATTCAATCCCCTATTTCATCAATCTGATTGCTCCCCGGAAATTCGAAACTTTCTTTTAGCTACGTAGTATTTAACCTTACGTTCATTGCTTCAAACAATGGCGACCGAAATTGTAGTTCAACTCTGTAAGATTGCGGCAATCTTGCAGGGTTTCCAGTTCCCCAAACGTAAGAGAACTGATAAGTTGCTGCAAATAATACGTGGGGAAAATAATATGCCATACGTTTTGGAACTTCCAGACACTGACGAAGAGAAGAATGCTACAAATCGTTTAGACTTGGATTCGAGTATATGACAAGTTCGGCAACGAGCGGAACTTAACAGAGATTGAGGAAGTAAACGACAGTAGGTTATATTAAAAACTACAGATGCACAGTGGGATGTGCTCCGCTTCTTTATTTCAAAGAACTTTGATGTTCTACACACTGTACAAAATGAACAAGGACTTTGAGAAATGCTGGGAATGAGAGACGATCCATCTGCCCATGTGGGAGCTAGACATCACTCTCTCGCCGGACTCCCAAACATCTTCACTGACCAAGGTCGTGCATGGCCCTCCGGCACGTGAAAACAACGCAAGCTGGGTCACGCCTATACAAAACTCGACAACCGATCAACCAAAACCCATCGTTCTGAACGTTCAAAGCCCATTTGGAGAAGCATCCACTAGTTTGCGCCCACTATGGCATTTTGGTTGCCCCAACCGCTGTGTCGACATCAGACCCTGAGCGAACTACTTATCACCTCAGAAGGTCTGCTATGTCCTCCAGCTGGGACATTTTAACGCTGCAAACACAAAGAAAAATGCTCAGTTAAATTCCTCCACTCAACAGAACATTCCCGATCTCAAGAATACATACACAATAACATTCAATTGATCTGATGGACAGAATGCACTACGTTGCCATCAAGCACAGGCCGCACAGTAGTGTGAGATCCTTTGAGCCATGATATCGCGGGGAGCTCAGTTCCAGCTCGGACATTTGCATTACATGAGAAAAATCTCCCCACTCTATTCCAGAGCTGATATATTCTAAAACTGACGTGAAGAAAGTGGAGAACGATGAACGAGGAAAAGCTAAACCTTACGTTTGCACTCTTCTCGGTCGCAGCTTTGGCCTCAGCTGCCTTGTCCGCAGTGGCTTTCTGTGCATCGGCGGCGGTCTGCCTGGTCTTCTCGGCATCAGCAGCAGCAGTCTGCTTGGTCTTATCGGCGGCGGCGGCAGCAGCCTGCTTCGTCTTCTCGGCCTGCTCGAATGCAGCGTTGTCCATACCACGGCTCTGTTCCGAGGCCATCTGAAGAGCTGAGAGCAAATAGGAGCTGCTGGAAGTCCACTACAGTTGGAAGGTGAGACGAACGAATTACTGGATACTTGATGGATGAGAGTTGAAGCTTTGCTGGGAGGTGGAGGGAAGTGCTGATGAAAATCGGGGAGAAGTGCAGAGTATTTATACTGAAGCTTCATGGCGGAATCGTTGTAAAATATCTGCTGATCGGACCGGGTTCCTGACAGTTCCTGATTCTGATTTCTGGATTCTGAAACCGCTGTACGGAAACATTGTAAATCATTTTGGGCTGCAGCCCTTGTGCGTCATTATCACCCTCCGATCTTCCTCTTTACAGAGCGCACTCACTTGCCCGAACCTCCTTAAAAGTTCGAGGTCACAGATACTTGCCCAAACGTTGTCTGTTTTTCCCTACGACTACAGATAGCGAGTGCTTCTTAACATTCACCCGTCGCGTTGTAAGAGATCTGGGATCTTGAGCCTTCACCAATGTCCTGCGTTCGCCGTCCCGACATCATCTTGTTCACCTGTAAAGTCGTGCAGGATGCCTGTCCGAACACACGCGTCGGATTCTGCACTTCGGTTTGAAGTATACAAGTCGATGATTATCCTGTGAGCAACACGTAGCAGATGCACACAGTGTACCGCTACTTACCGACGAAGCAAATTCAGATTCTACAATTATTTCTCGGCAGGGCAGCGGGAACATATATCATCACAGCATCAATGTGTAATCATATACCATCGAGTACCGAAGAAGCCTTGCTGGTGAATGAAGCCCTTCCTGACCTATCATAGCCCCCTGCTTCTCTCCGCTTCCACCACATAGCTACGTAGGCTTCATTTTTGTCCATTCATTTGATTTCAGTGTGAAACCTGAGAGATAGTTTAATGTCTCCTTCTTTCTCTATGTACCGAAGCTTTTATTGTTCTTCATTTTGCCTTCAAACCCAACAGGATAGTCTTAGAAAAGCTCAACAAAAAGTGACCTTCAATTATATGCGTTCACAGAATTCGATCCGTTATCAGGATATGTCCTAGTGTTGAGTCGCTTTCAAGGCATTTGCTGATCACAGGACGTGATCTTAAACCTGCTGAACTCATGGAGAAGTGGAAATATGCATGCATTTTTGTTTGATTTCGACTTCGTATCAGCTGGGCAATGCGTGACCCAATAGCCACTACCATGTACCTGCATGGTGATGCCAGTAAAGTCGGTTAGACTTATCCATGCAGTAGTGGCACCATGCGCGAACCCATGAAGGCAGTTGGGCGTAGGACGTAGGGCGTATGTCATCGTCGACGATAGCTCGCACCAAGCTCATCGTAGATATTTTCATGATCCAACATGGTACAAATCTAGGCGTCCAACACTGCAGCTCTGTTCTATTCTACTTCGAGGGGATATTTCGGGTGCAACAAAAGTCAGCATTTGCAGAATTTGAAATCCATTTTATGCTGCGTTCGCAAGTTTGTCAAAAGATATTTCTGAGCTTTCGCGACTTCGAAATCATCTCAGACGAACTTATACGGCGGTTCCAGTTGTGACTGCCAGCTCGGAACCTCACAATTTTCTGTCAAATTCAGTGTTTAGTGCAAGCATGCCTTAAACTATACCCAGCAGAATTCTCTGACAGCTGCATAACTCAATGTGTGCGGCCGGCCTTACAAGAATCAAGACTATTTTTCTTTCTCCCATTGGGATCCATCCTACCCAATGCCGTCATGACTCAACTACGTAGCTTACATATGCTGGGGCTTATAAGGTTAAGAATACTGTGCACCAATTTTTTTTAAATTTCTTCACCGAGCATCGTGCCTGGCGGTCATTGGTTCACTCACTAAGCCAATGTAGACTGAAGCAGAAAAAGATGCATACATTCTACATTTCGATTATCCAATTGCTCGGTTCATTACCTGTATGTTACAACTTTTTTCTTGTCTGTGAATGGCCTGACCTTGGAGCTCGCAGAACCTCATTCCTGTTCACATTGCTGAGTCTGTGGCAGTGCACTTCAGCGCTAACCAGAACGACACAACCAGCTTCGCCAACCAGAAAGTGTTTGTTCGCTGATACAGCCACTTGGTCATGATCCATCCGTAGTGTTTTCTCGATCATGAATCGGCCGTGTGAATTTTTTCTCATGAATTTTCTCTCAGGCCCTTAGTTAATTTGTCCAGCTTTGTAAATGCATCTACATCGGATCCATTTGCAACATCGTAGATTCAGTGTCATTCCAGACTGCTGGACAACTGCAGAAAGTCATTATTCTTGTCGAGTAAGTCGGAGTTGGGAGGCTTCGATTGGAGGTTGCTTGGGCTGGGATTTCAATCTGACCAGAAAGATAGCCTCTTGATAAGAAATGAAATATGAAAAGTAATTATGTGGTTGTCACTCGTTATAATGCTCCTCAACGAAACTCGTTTTTTGGAGAGTATTTTTCTCTCAGCAGAGTCTGACACATTTTCTTAAAAACACATAACTTTTGCTTTGGAATAAAACATGCACCTATGGGTCCGAAATAAAATAGACGAAGAAGAACATTGCGCGGTATCTCATCCTTCGTCCACAGCACTGTAAAAGTGCATTTTATCTTAAATCTTATTCTTTTGGTAGCATTCAATCATCATTATTACAGTATCTTTCCTCCTTCGTCGGTGGAGACTGATTTCAAATTCCTGCATTGACTTCTTAGCTGTTCAGATTCTTTAATCTCGAATCCCTTGATATCGACTTCTACTTTCGTTTAGAAACTTTTCGCACGTAATGAAACCAGCAAATTGCGGCACGAAAGAACAGAGCATTACCACCATCCTTTTTCTTAGACATCAAACCACAATTAAGTGAACCGGGGGCTAAGTAAACAGCAAAGGTGAAGACAACATCCAAGTGTGGATGGATCAACATGATTAATTAGTGAACTCTTTAGTGCAGGTTACCATGTGTCTCAACTGACAACATCCAAGTGTTGTAATGAACGAAACAAACCGTTCGTTAGATAGAAAGGATTTTTTTTAGAGAGCATAATCGCTGAAGATATGTACATTTTTTGCATTCAAATTCTTTAAATAGTTCTTTTCCTGTTGGTATTAAGACTAATTATTTGTTATAAATTTCCATATGTTTCATTTGGATAATACATCGTTCCATGTTATATTTTTTAATTCATAAGTATTATTTTGTGGATGATAAATGTACAATGGACAACTCTATATCACTTTGTACATCTCGTTTTACTTCACACTACTTCAGGACTTATATCTTTTTATCATATCTTGCAATGGAGGTTACAAAACTCATAACGGTTTTTACACATCGGAATCTTTGCAATGTGAATCAACCTTTTCAGGGGTTCGTGTTAATATTGAATACATTTTCCAATGATTCAGTTGAAATTGTGAGATGATGTTTAAGATTTTCCATAACTCGCAATCCTGTTGCATACAAGTTATACTATTTATGTTTGGTGAGTTGTATAGAATTTTGCATAACTTAAATTTGACATGACTATATCTCACAAATATGGACTTGCATATTTCAATATATATCTAAACAAATGTTATTGAAAATGAACGTTTGTTGTTGCAGAGAAAAATTTATACTTATACACATATATAGACATGCATATGATATTTTATGTCCAATCATATTATCAAATATGAATTCTAATAAAATATTGAATTCCCATTTAAAGGAAGCATTGATGGTAAAACACTATAAACTATTCACCTACAGAATTTTTCAAGCAATCTTCTATAAACATATGCATAAATTTAATCGACATCATCACCTACATAAACTAGTATTTTTTCTTTTATTCGAATCCAAAAGTATGACACATAATCTATATGAAATATTCTAAGTATAAAGAAATGATGGCCTCTTTATATGTATCACTATAATACTCTTCCATATCCACACAGAATTGATGCATGAAAAGATAGATATTATAGAAAACAATTACAGAATCATTGGTCGAATGGTAGAAACATCATTTCAAAACTTAAAGTAAAATATTGGAACAAAATTGTATTACGACAAGCATTGCCTATTCACTAAGAAATTTAGACAAAGAATTAAATACCATAAGTAAAAAAAATAATCCAATTTTCCCATCCTACTCTCCTTTATCTGTCACTGACCCCACATCAAATCTGAAAAGAAACCACCACTCCAGTCGAGGAGGGTGGACTAAAGGCTTGGACGAATCAACATTTTCAAGCATGCTAATTCTACTATTTCGCTGTTATCAAGATAAGTGGATCTGGTTGGCTCAGCCCGTATATATAGCATGTGTTAGACAATAAAATCTCACGAGACAAAATCCCTTTGGTGTCGGTGGATAAACAAATGATTTATATATCAGGCTTTCGATGTAAACTTATTTCACGTAATAGACTTTAGCTCATTACACTTATCAAATATTTCAGATTATTTTCAAATATTTCAACATACTTTCTATATTTATCCTCGCCTTTTCAACTCACTTTTAACACTTATAGTTTCGTTGGCTACTATTGACAAAGCATGACAATACCTCAAAGATCTACGATAAATCTAGTGTCCAAGATTATCTGCTTTGTCACTTATTGATACTTTGTTCACGTTCGTATATGTACCGGGCTTAACATAAGTTTGGCCAGGCCAAGAATGAATCTGCCGTTGGAATGTACTCATACAATACACATTTCTTTTCAGGAAGCGGCTGGTTATCACTCATCTTATTCTAATTATACTTCAACCTACAAAAATTATATATATTGCTTAAGAATAGAGGTATATGACGGTTCAGGGTGATTTCATTTCAAAATGAACATGCTTGCTCCACCCACAAACGTCTTCGACGCAACATTGTACGCTACGCTATAGACAATGCATGCTTACGCGTTGAATCAGGGCTACGTCGATTAAACGTAAACGTAAGATTGGTAACAGGAAAGATGAAACTATCAAGGTACTCGATCCCGATTAATCTCGTTGGAATTGTATTGGTTCTCCTAACCCTAATTGTAGGGTTATTCCTCACCCTAATTGTACAGTGAGGAAAAATTAGCATAAACTGAATGATAACTAGCCACTAACTTATTTAATCATGTGCTATTTATTACAATGCACATGAACAATATTTATTTCAGATATGGAAATATTTTACAGCGCACAATGAAAGTTTGATGTCTAAGGTCCAACCGCGGAGTGAAGTGAAAAGTGTTTAATATGTTGGATTTTTTGTTTTGTTATGTAGGCATTGTAAGTATCTTACAAACATTCAGTAAGTATTGGAGACTCTTTTGTCAATAATAAATTCATCAACAATATTATCATCGTCTGTTAATGGATGTTGCTTATTCTTGAACACTTTTGTGTAAATAGTGAATCTTAGAAAATATTACTCTTGTTTCAAAGTTGTAGCGCTGTACAATTTTTTTTAACTTATATCATTATGATCAAATCTTTGACTCATCTCCTTCATTTAAGTAATTTTTTTATACACTTTCGTTGATCTTCTATCAACATGAGTTTTGATTTGTGAAGATGATTATTTCAGGAATCCATAATGCTAAAAATATGATCTTTATTGTGATTCAGTATAATTCTACCCATCTATTGTAAAAATCATTTCAAGTTGTAAAGTCTTATCTTAAATTGATTATAAATATATTGTCAACCATATATATTACATTAGACTTATAGTTGATTGTTTGCTTGGAAATCATGATGTCAAACTTTATGACATAATTTTTTGGGGATCTTTCTCTTTATTTTGATCTTTGAAGTATGACAAATACATTCTTAGAATGCAAGTACAATGTGGAATTTCATCTTATATTATTTGGCTGTGAAATCTAGCAATGATTTAAAGGAAACACAAATCTTTAAAGTAAGTATCACACATATTTTTGTAGAATTGTTTGAAAATCTGTCTACCTACTTGACATGATTACACTTTCACATGCATTTTAACCACACTTGATAGTCTTTGATACAATGATGATGAGATTTTTAAAGACATTCTTGTGTAAAAAAGTTGAAGCATTATTCAAATGTATTTATATATCATAGATTTTATAAATTTTATATGAATGAAACTCACATCACCATTTAAGTACCATTTAAATGTGTGATACAATATGGATATAAAATCACACATCTGAATTTAGATTGATGAAATACATAACATTTACAAAAGTTTTTGCTAGTTGGATTATTTCTTAATCCTTATTAGTTTTCATATTTGGATCTTTCTAAAAAGTATTAAAGATATGTAAAAAAGGTATTGTAAAAAAAATATGAAACAAAATTCAATGTATGAAGAAAAGGTTCTTCTAATTAATTTTATCATACTAATATTGAACTTGAGATGTAAAATTATTTTGAGTAAACATTCATATTTTTTTAAAAAATTAATATGCTTAATATTTGTTTTATTAAGTGTTGTGTACAATCATGGTAAGTAAACCATCCGTGAGGATGTTGATTTAGTCATTTTTTAACTTAATTATTGATTAACCAATAATTTCATCAGAGAAATATCATCTTTATTTGATACATCGTATATATATATATATATATTTATTTATTCACATGTACTTATGGTCTTATTTCAGATGAAACATGTATGCATATTGTTGTTCATTCGGCGGTTGATTCGTTCAAGCATGTGCTATTCTTTTTAGGGTTATTATTCGATTATTCATATTCTCTCCGTCTGAAATATTGAATATTTGATGTATGACATGAACCAACAACATGATTACAACATGATTACAAATGTGAAGTATACATATGAGTGAACTTCAAGACATACAACTCTCACATATGGAAAATTGATATGCTTGTAATCGAACCATATTAGTATATACATATACTTCGTTTGTAATATCATGTAATCGTTGAGAATATTATGGTTATAGAATCAACAATGGAGATTTTTTTTAGTCTTCTTTCTAAGTGGGAATTGAGTGAAATGACAATATTCAAAGCATTGAACTATTGATGTATATAGAGAAATGAATCTTTGATTCTTGAATCCAGAAATACATTTATTATCACATGTTTGTGAACAAGTGTATGAGAGGTTACTATAAATTTCACTTCAATAGCATGTTCGGAAATTTACCTATGTATAATTTAGTTTGCAAAACAAAATAAACGATGCAGTATTCATGTTTATCCAGTAATCATGACATCTCAGTATATACTTCTCTTCGGTTTCCGTCGAATAGGTTTCATTATCTTAGGACTTGATCGAACTGTACTCTTCCCGTTTGTTCTGCCTTTGGTGGGGTTGGGAATTTCTTCAATTCAAGTCTTCCAATATTCGCCCGCCAATTTCGGCTCGCCAATTTTCGCCCACTTCTTCGAAGCCTGGCCTCGCGAGAGCTCTTGTTTCGTTTGTAGCTCACTTCTGCAGTCTGTCGCTTGGCCGACCATCGAGCTCAGACAGTGTCGTGTTGCGTGCAGCAAGGGTGATCGAACTGGCGTACTAGATTTCCGCCCCGCCCGTCGTCTCCTTCTGCCAAATATCGTGCAAAATGTCGGGGATTGGAAAAATTGGGGATCGAGAAGTCCGCTGTAACGTCACTCGACATTCAAGCTGGCGACAGGGCTGATTTCAGCTCGAAGGATCAATGACTTGTAGGTGCTTGCAGCAGTGTACATCAAATTCTTGCAAAGTGCAACCAGGGAATCGCGGTAAGGCGTAATCGTGGGTGTTGTGACGATCTTGTGCAGTAGTAGTTTGTTAGGGTTGCGGAGAGAATTCTTTCGTCATGGGGAAGAACGAATTTCTTACCCCCAAGGCCATCGCGAATAGGATCAAGGCGAAAGGGCTCCAGAAATTGCGATGGTATTGCCAGATGTGTCAAAAACAATGTCGCGATGAGAATGGGTTCAAGTGCCATTGTATGTCCGAAAGTCACCAGCGCCAGATGGAAGTTTTTGGACAAAATCCTGATCGCATTGTGGATGGGTATTCGGAAGAATTCGAGGACCAATTTTTGGAACATATAAAGAGAAGTCATAGGTTTAGTCGCGTTGCTGCCACCGTCGTGTACAATGAATACATAGCAAACCGGCACCATGTACATATGAATTCGACAAAGTGGGCAACACTTACCGATTTTGTGAAGTATCTAGGTCGTACTGGCAAATGCAAGGTCGACGAAACCCCGAAAGGATGGTTCATGACATTTATTGACAGGGAACCGGAGACCCTGTTGAAGGAGGGTTTGAAGAATAAGAGGGCAAAGGCAGAAGTTGCTGATGAAGAAAGACAGGAAAGAGCGATTGCTGAGCAGATCGAGAGGGCTTCCAAATCTGTCAAGCCGGATCAACTCCAGAGTGAAGTGGAGATGACTGAAATATTGGAAAGTCGGGAGGAGAAGGTCGCCTTTTCTCTGGGTGCTTCTTCCTTGAAACCGAAGGAAGAGAAATCAAGCAATGGAAGTATCAGACCGGCTATGCCTAGTGTATTTGAGAGTGGACTTGAGGATATCGAGAAAAAGCCAGTTGCCTCGGAGAGAGAGGGAATTACGAGTTTTGGTGATAATTCAAGGAATAAACGGAAGAAAGATGCGGCTGACGCTTTAGAGGAGATAATGAAGGAGCAGGAGCAAGCCAGGGAGAAGGCAAATCGGAAAGATCACTGGCTCTGCGAGGGCATTGTTGTCAAAGTAATGAGTAAATCTCTAATCGAGAAAGGATATTACAAGGAGAAAGGCGTTGTAACGCGAGTCATTGGAAAGTACGTAGGAGAAATTAAGATGATCGACAGCGGGGATGTTTTAAAGGTAGACCAGGAGGAGCTAGAGACTGTTCTTCCACAAATAGGTGGATTGGTTAGGATAGTGAACGGTGCATATAGAGGCTCAAATGCGAGATTGCTTGGAATTGATACAAAGAAGTTCGCAGCCAAAGTCCGAGTAGAAAAGGGAAAATACGACGGCAGAGTATTGCCAGCTATTGATTATGAAGATGTTTGTAAGTTTTCTTCAACTTCGTAAGCAGATGAAGATTAACAGTACCTCTTATCGGAGTTCCTGCACCAGTTGCCGTTTAGAAATTAGTGTACAATTATCTTGTATCAATGAAGAACTCGGAGTGCCTGAATTTCTGACGAACCGTGTATATGGTTCCTTGCACTTTTCCCGACAACTTTTAGGTCATTTACTTGCTTAGCTGAGTGAGCTTTTTGAGTCAATCAGTGTGCACTTGGGTGAGCATAGTAACTCTTGACAACTGTAGACAGGGTTCAACTACTGACTTTGAATCGAAGAGGAGTTTTTTCACAAAAAGTCCTCTTTGTTTCAAAGTCCTCGTTTGAATCCATGGACCTCACGAAGTCCGACTTTTTCCTCTTTTAGAGGCTGCATTAGTTGTCTTTCTTTTTTACCCATGCTTGAAGACTCCAGTGTCTGAAAGCTTTGGCTTCCAAGAGGGATAAATTTCCTTATGTCACTACTGAACTTGGAGCTCAGTTGTGGAATCACGTTCATTCTATCTGTACTAGCTTCCCTTCTTGTACGTTGTAGGCTATCCTCATCAGACCGAAAAAGTTGAACAAAACTTATAGTTGTGGGTCGAAGGAAATTTCTGTAGCGCAGTTTGCAATACTGCTATCGTCCCTGGTTGTCCTCGATGTTGGCATGAGTCTGTATATTTGTTCTCTGATATATCTGCCGCGCACATTTTGAATGTGGCTGTCAGTATTTCAGTTACTTTCCACGAAGCGGCAATGCGTCGGAAATTATCGTCTGATGAAAACATTTACAGCTTGTTCATCCTTTGCCATCTATTTTGCCTAGTTTCTGTATGTGTTTCTGTTAGTTACGCGCTCCTTTTACCTCAGATTTGACTGAGATTATATATGTCTTGTATTGCATATCTTGTCCTTTCAGCTTGTTCCATGCCCTGCGCTCCAGGATCTTGTCACTTACTTTTAGTATGTATCTCCAGTCCTTTTCCGGACATGTAGCTGAAGCTCATGGCCTGTGCTCGATACATGCATCCCTCCCGCTAAATGTCATTCGAGTTTAGTGACTTGCATCTGCTGTGTATTTCCATTTGTATACTGAATGCCAAGATAGTTCTAGTCCTGATCGTCGTGTAGTTGGAGTTTTTGGGTGAGAACTGAATTGGAGTTGAGTACGTACCCCGAAGTAGACGTAAATTTCCGGATGTTTGGAGGGTTGGATATTTTGTCTCGTTGACCTTTTTTTAGATTGGTACTGCTCTGACATATTAGTATATGTGCGGATGGGAAGGGTACTCCTGCGTTTCTTGTAAAGATGTGAGAAGACTTCAGATTAATTGCGATACACTCAAAACGGATAAATCTACAACGGCTGTTTGACTCAAGCTTTCTGCTGGAAACAACATGTATTCCAGTATATCTGGATCTGTATACATTCTTTAGATGTAACATTTCTCAAAAATCTGTTGAGTCGAAAGCTCCAGTTCTGTTGTAACGTGGTTTGTAGTAGTTTTGCCCTCGGATGGAGGGACCGATTCATCCTGCACCTCTCATCGACATCATCGAGAATGTTAGAAAGTTGTTCTAAGCGGTGTTGGGTTTGCTACTAAGCTATTCCGACACCGTGACGGGCGTTGGTGAAGTGATGGTTTTTGTGTAGAATTTTATCCTTGCCATTTATAACCATTGCCGTGTATTCGTGTTGTGTCCTTATCAATGTCCCGGTGTCAGACAGTGTTAAGTGAAGGATTGAAGTGTGAGAAGTGTGAAAGTGAAGGATCCAAAAGTCCCTTCAGCGAGAGATTGGCCAGAAACATCTAGGTTGTAGCATTACGTTAAGAGCTGAGGTGAATATCTCCAACGTAGCCTTTCGTTTGCTACGTTGGAGATATTCACCTCATCTCTTGTCGGGTTCGCCCTAATCATGCATCAAAGATATGCACTGCCTGTGTCATACTGCTTGAGCCTATAATTTCCATGATGCAATATATACCAGTTGTTACTACTCGTACACTTTGTGAAACGCGCGGGCTTAACCATCTTGTTGAAGCTTTACGCACCACTCACTGGCCATGCGGCTTGTTGTCCTTTCAGATTATCTGTGCACATTCTTGGTCCATGCTGCTACGGCATCACATGCTCTAAATTGCTTTCCGCAACCACGCGGACTTCGTTATCAGGACTGTATGACATACTGTTATACTTACAAGCCATGCTCTCAGACTTATAATACAGTTGATCTATCAGTAGGATTCACTTTCTGTTTGGTTCTTGTATCATGGGTGTGAACCCATGATACAAGAACCAAACATGATAGGAGTGTTGGGTTGGACATTCCTTCACGACAAATACTGAAATTGCTGTCTGGTGACGCCAGCTTGATTACGGTACTTGATCACAGGAACAAGCTGCCTGTATAAGAGTCTCCTTTCAACAAGAGTCCACTCTTGAGATATGGACTGCCCTCAATACATGCCTGTATAAACCTGAAGGCGTGTTTTGACAAACAGCCTCCAACTTTTGAGGCTGTTTCTCAAAACTTGGAGGCATTACTTGGATGAAGACAAAAAGCTGAAAACGATCACATCATAAGGTGGTTAGCGACTAGCGGATTCGGGTGGGAATTTGGAAGATCATCTTACCCCGGTATATCGTCAAGGTAACAGTCGCATAATGCTTTAACCTTACTGAATTCAGGCCTGGTTTAGGTTCATGAATGTCAAAGAACAATCTCCTGCTATTCTTATTATTTTTGCCAGGATAAACCTGTCAATAAGGTTTGAGCTTGGTATACTACCTCTTTATCAATTTGTAACTAGTCATAACATATCTAATCCTATAATGAATGAAGTTTTTGCTGCGGTGAAGACAAAAACCCCTGTCCTTCACCGAAGTTGGCATCATGCCAAGCAATAACCATCTCTTCCACTGTAAATACTTCACTTGAAATCTGGTTGAAAGTCGACCTATTGCTAGTAATTTCTGCCGAGCATGACTTTCCAGGCCCACACCAAGGGAAATCGATAGGCTAAGCTGCTGACAGAGTCTCACAAACAGTGCAAGAAGAGGAGCCGGGCTGAGCTTAAAAAGACGAAGGTGTGACGTTCAGTCGACTGAGGATGATGAGCTGTAGCGAAAGTTTTCCATATGATTTATGCAGTGGATTTAGAACGCAATCATCACTTTCTGGAAGTTTGATTGTGCTTTCAGTTGACAGTTCGCAGCTTTAGAGTTTTAGTACCGGAACAAACTTGGCACAGAGCTACATCGTACATTGCAAATTCACTTTTCTGTCCACTCGGATGTTTGTTAGAGTCTCAGACTTATTTGAATTATGAATCTGAATCCTTCGAGGCTAATTTTGAACTTTTTTGTATTTTGAAATGTCGGCGTGTTTTTTAGTACCAGTTCGGTTGATGGAAGCTGTAAGTTAGGAGATAGTAAATTTACATGGTGGCACATAGGTCGAAAGCAAAAATATATGGTCACATGAAAGGGAGAGAAACATACCCAAAAAATCTAGCTCAATGATAAGAGATACAAAGAATAGGAATGGGGACTACCTTCTCCATAAAAAGGCCTTTCTCGTTCAAACAATATCCACAGCCTATTTTCTGATTAATATTTCTATGCCAGTGGATGAGCAACCATGCATTACGAGCTCCCTTGTAGAACAGTTGCTTGGCAGTGTCCAGACGTTGCAATTTCACAGTATATTATGTTAACAGGGGCGTAATTAATCAGCATTTGAAACTGCTATACTTAAAGTCATTTTAAAGAGAAATTGTCAACTGATATATCACATGCTTCCCTGCTTGGATTTGAGCATGATCTGTAAAGGAGATGTAGAAATACAGCTGGAATTCCTTAAAAAAAATGTTCAAACCAAAGCCATAAGGGTCGTATCTTTTTGGTCCGAATCCAAAAAATGGATCAGCAATAGCCACATATATTCAGAGGTATAAGGCTGTGTACTCATCCTTGTACATTTTCTTGTGGCTCAATATTTGGAGAGGACGAGAGATAATCATCAAAGCTTCATATGCATCTGCATTCAGTCACAACCAGTCTCGCAGCGGAAGAAGAACATGCCATTTTGACATGTACAAGAATGTCTCTTGAACTGTCGAATCCACAAGTAAATATTGAAATGGCAATTTTTCAAGGCGTATACTGCGTGGACAAACTCACACCATTGTCAATTCAAGAACCAAGATAGTCTCGAATATCTTGTTCTTGGGAACACTACAGTCCGTTCTGTACTTCGTTCACCTTTATCCTACACTTATGAATGTCTGTAATGTGGAGTAGACTAAAGAGACCGTATGGTCACATTACGAACGTCCGTATTGTACAATATTGTGAATGTACGGTATTTTGTATTAGGAATGTACGGTACGGTAGCGTAGAGAAGGAGAGGGCCAATTTTGGCTCGCTTTCGGACAGAGAATCAAATTCGTGTTCGTGTCTTGAACCAGAGCAGCGGCGGATTCAGGAGGTGGGACACAGAATTCTGATGTGAGGGCCGTGGGAATCCATGGCCGGTCAAGGAGCCAGTGTGCTGCTTATGAGTGGCGGATTGGAAAGTGCTACAATTTTGTGGCATTGGAAGCGTTCCGCGCGCCTGTTTCCTCTGTGAGATTCTGGCTCTGCTTCTTTCCGATCGTTTCTCCGTTCAGTTGTTGGGATTCGTATTGGTGTTGGCCGGGAATTGAGAATTGCGTATTAATAATTGTCAGAGAACAGATGTGCACAGAGTTTGCAATCTCCGCTAAAGAATGTGATGGCTCTTGGTTTCAGTAGACTCTGGCGAAGAGAGCCACTTATAGTCCTTTCGTTTCTTGATAGGGATGGGTTGTGAATGTTTCTGGACACTTTTATGTCTTGAGGATCTCTAACATCGAGCGATTCTGCCCTGCCACACTTGAATGACATCCATCCATTCTGCAAGTTCAGATTCGTCAATTATGGGCAGAGAGGAGCGCAGATGGAGGAGCGCGCTAGCGAGAAGCTCTGCAGCCAACTGGAAATCGAGCTATCTAAATTTGACTTGAGCAAAGCAAGACTTCAGTGACATGCCCTTCCAACATCACATTTTTCTGCTCTAGGAAATTATTTCTCATCCGCCACTCAGTCCACAGGATTGCTTTGAGAACATCGCTGTCGACATTTCTGTTATTTTAGTCTTACAGAAAGCCATAACTTCCAAAATTTTTGCAGGTAGGAGATTCTTTTCGTGCTTTGCAGCACCCCACCCGTCTTCACGTTCCCGTACCCAACAGAAACCTGCTTCTTTTGGCGCTTGGAGCCAGCTATGCATCTCAGGTGCCTTGTTCATTGAGAGTGTTTCCGACCTGTTTCATGCACTTTTTGGGGGACGTTCTTGTAGGATACGAGAAGCATGGTATTCTTGAACCAAGTATGAACTTGGTACTCACTAAGTGATACCCAAAACCCAAAGATAGTCTTCATAGGACATTTCCCCCTAATTGGACTCTGGAATTGGAAGGTTGGAGCAGACACACTAGCCTTGACTCTGAATAAAGACGACCTTGGGACTTATTCAAGGTACGAATCGACCAGTAATTCTGTGCTTGTTGTTTTCATGTAAACATTTTTATTTACATCTACTGTCGTTTTGCACTGCGAGTTAATTATTTTAAGTGAGCTGAATTTCGAACTCTCAATGCTTTGTAACACTGGTTGGGAATGTCACAGATAAGACTGAAAGCGATTGACACATTTGCGCAACATTGTTGCAGCTCCTCGCAATCATTTGTGAATAGTTTCCGTGCCACTGCCGCCGTACTTGACCCACCTATTGAAGTAGTTGCTCCTCTAAGGTTGCTTACCCCGTTTCATACTCTTTCTTATTTGGTTTCTCTTCTTCATGACATAAAATGGACAATGAACGTCCTATAATGGAACTGCTGTAACATGTCGCTTATGAGAAGGAAGATTAAAGGAAGTTTAAAGGAAGGCGTGATGTGTGAGGATGGAGTTCGATCAGCTCGTTGTTTTAGGCAAGTCTTAGGGATTCGGTACAATGTCTGACGTAGAATGATATTTATGGTTTCAGCCACTTCACGAAAGCAGAGGTTGTACGATTCGCAAACGACTTAGGCGTGCCTCTGTCTGATACTTACAGCTGCATGATAGGTCGTGCCCATCACTGTGGACGTTGCTCACAGGTAAAGTTGAACTTTTCCCAAACCATTACATCGAGACATTCAATCCACTCTTCCTCTCAGACTGACAAATATAATGCTGGTGAAGGGTTTTTGAAAGAAAAGCAAGACTCAAGCAAGTACTCATCTTAAATCGTAATCTCTCATCAGATATTTATTAGTCAGCTCGTTTACATATATCTGCAGCGAACTCTTTGGCCAGAAGTGCTGAGAATCTCCTGTTGCTGTGATGGTACATGCAGTGCAAACTGAGACGAGAGGCGTTCTTGTCTGCTAGAGTGAGTGAACCTCCAGACTTTTACGAATAAAAATGACAGGACAGGAGATTTCCGACAGGGATTTCGTTCACGTTGTAAAACTTTCGGTTCTCGCGAGTGCACGCCCTTCTCGCTTTAGAGACTAGAGTGTTTGTCAACACAACCTTGTGTTCCTAATGCAACCAAGTCTGTTGTTATACTATTCGTCGAAGAGGAAATTTGGAAGTCTGATGCATGTAAATTAGCCAACAGAATCTAGAAACATAAAGCTATCACCAGACTTGTGTCGGAGGGTGGATCTTTGCTGAGCAGGGAAGAGTAGATGTGTTTATTGTCGTACTTCCATTTTCATTCACTCCGGCATGTGAAAATTATATCAGACAAGCTTTTGAGAGACTCTTTTCGGCAAAACTATTTCTGTTTATTCAGAAGACATTTGTAAGTACTAATGAATGGTTAGCTGTATTGGGTATGAATGATGGAGGTGGCCACGAAAGTGGCCATCCAACCATTCGCTCAACAAATGAAACATTTGATCTCTCTACAAACGAATGTTGGAGGCTTTATGATTGAGAACCGAACTTTCATCCTGTGTCGTCGCGAGAATGACAACATTTTTTGCCGAGCTAACAGGGTCTACGCATTTTTGTGTTTAGAGGAGGCTCTCGGTAAGTGCCAACGCTCTCCACGGCTTTCCTCACTGGCCTCCCACTTCCAGAGACCAGAGTGTTGTACACCCTCCTGGAGAAGTGTGGTGCTGAGGATGAACTGGTGGATTTTTGTAGCTCTGGGGCGACTAGGTTCACTTTATTCGTTTTGAAGGGCTGTAGTCCCTTGGCAGAGGAAACGCTAATTTCTGAGCTCCTGTTAGAGAGACTACAAGCAGTTGCATCATCCGTTCTACTACTATTTGACTCGCTTGTAAGTAGACTTCTGGAAACGTTCTCACTATGTGGGGAACTTGAGGTAGTGTTTGCTGAGTTGCAAGGAGAATACTCTTCCTCGCAGACCTCCGCCATAGGCTCAAGCCCAATTAGATCACTGTATCTATTGATGTGTCTAATCGATCCAGGGGCGGGTTGGGTGTTGAGTTTTAGTTTAGGCACAGCTTCTTTCGAAACTACGACACGTCCCGATCGTCTGCGTATTTCTGGTCTGTAAGAGCACAACATGACTTCTGTTAGAGACCTTCAATCACTGGGAAGTGGGCAGTCTGGGCTCGACGACGATATTCTAGTTGTGACTGCTACACGGGAGTCGTGGTTTGGACAATCGTACCTGGATACACTTTCATCTGCTCTCTCTGGTATGAGTTTGGTGGAGTGATTCCAGTCGTTATCCAGAAATATCCTCCCTGCCACAGTACCATCTCGAATCAGTCTACAAAGCACAGAGAGGTAAATGGCCCTGAATAACACCCAGCCTAGTAGGCTCCACTCAGCTGATGTGGCCCCGAGCACTTTTCTGTAAGATGAGAAGGATCAACAATTCAAATGTCCAATTGAGCTCACGGTGTGCAAGCAATCGAGCCTTCACGTTCTCTTCTTGGAAATCAGCACTTAAAGAGGTGCTCCCGAAGGTGCACCTCTGGTTGCTTCAGACTCCTGGGAAGGTTCAAAATGGGAAATCACCTACCTACGGCTTGGCACCATTTAAGGGATTGATTCAGAAGATGCAACGTATGCTTGCCAAGCTTACCAGCCGTGGAATGCCGTCGGTGAACGTGGCTCCGGGGTTTTCTAGGCACTTGCGTCTGCTCAACTGGCGAGGGAGTTGACCTCTGCATTGCAAAAGAATTAAAACGACACTGGATTTGTTCAGAGCTGGGCCTGAGATGAAAGTGTCAGTACATTTCTGGGCAACACAATGCACCGCATCATGGAGTCCACTAGATGCACTGATAGCTTCACAGTGGCGGCATAACAGTACCTGGCTCTGCTGTTCTTCGAGTAGTCTTTTCAACTGCTCTTGTGTTTCTGTTAATTTGAGCTGCAAAAACATTGACGTGAGAAGGATATGTAAACATACTTCCGAGTAATGACGAAAAGGGAGATTTGAGGAAATACAAAAGCGATGGCAACAAAAGAAGCAGCGGAAAAAGGCCAGCCAATGCAGAAGGAACCTGCCATATACGCAGCGAGAGTGAGAGAACTAACCCTACAATTCGTTATTATTTAGATTTTGCGAACAAACTTCAGAGCAACAAATGCAGTCACATTTAGGCTCAAAAGATAACAAATGCCGAACAGCCATACCTGAAGCTCGTTTACTTGCACTCTGTAAGCAGCAGTCATCTGACAGTATTCGTGCTGAAGAAGCTTGTACTGCGGAAGTCCAAATCCGGAAATCAATATAATCTTACTCTAATCGACGAGGTCGTCTGAGCTAAGATTCAAATTATATCAAGTATGCCCAGTACAATGATGTGCATATATTCAATGTACTACCAGGCACCAGGAGTAAACCCACTCACTTGATCACGCAACTGGCCTCCTTCCTGAGTCGCAAGATAAGAATATCAGAATTCAATTGCAGGTGATATTAACAACTTTCGTTGTGCTAAGAATGTATGAAAAACATCCATGTGCGGAAAGCTGAAACCCAACAAGCACTGAATCAAAGGTTTCCACCGAGATCTGCCCTGCGTAGTTTACACTAAGCGTAGATTACTCACGACTTGGTGGCGTAGAGCTACTATTTGGTATCCTTACGGGCTTAGTTCGAAATGTAGTTGAAGATCACAGCGGAAATGAACTTACCCTTGATAGTCGTGAATTGAAGCTGATAATCTCCTCGTTTACTTGGCTTTGTCTACGCAACTGAATCAAAAATTCTTTCTGCATTTGCTCCATGCTTCCTGCTTGTAGTTCTAACGCTTCTCTGAGCCAAAATTAAGGCGGTTTTCGGGATGTGATAGGACAGGCAAACACGAAACGTACCCAGATACTGACAGCCGAATGAGGAAGTTCTCATCAAATCATGAAACAGTAGGATGCATTGCTGACTAGAAAACCAGAAAATTATCTGCTCATGCTCTTCGACGACACGAGACATAGCAAGCTCAAATTGGATACTCTTTCTCCGCCAATAACTTCTTCAACGCAATATTTTCCTGTGAAAAAATCATCAATGTTAGTAAGAGTGTACCTTCATATTCTGAACTACGCACGTTACTTTACAATTCTGAAAACAGGGTTCTTCGGCTATAAATGTTACATGATATCCGCCTACATGGAGTACGCTGTATTTATCAATTGTGGCATACAGTTTGGTGACCGGCTGAAAATTTTGGCCAGTGCTGGAACTCTCAACGAGAGCTATAGCAGTCCATGTAGAGCTTTACCACGAAGAGATCAGGCGCCTGTCGCTTTGATATCACTGTCAAGGTATCTTTGCTACGGACATTGAGGGCTGCCTGGCGAGGGAAAAAACTTCTCTGAGAGGAACATCTCAACTGTTTGCAGTGATTCCTATCTATGACCTTTACATTCTTCATATTTCTTGCACATGTTTGGGTGGTGGTACTGAGAAAATTCAGCTCGTCTATTCCAGAATACTGATAGAAATCAGTTACTCTAATTGTAACGATGATAAACGCTACCTGCTGGAGCTGAAAATCGCTGCTCTTGCTGCATGATTTGAGCAGACTATCCTCTCGTGGATGGCTGGACCAGTTGGCCGAGAGGGATAGATTTGTAATATTTGATAGTCTTCTACGCCTCTGCGAAGGTGTAGTCAAGCTCTCCTTAACCAGCTTCTCGTTCCCCATGTTTGTGACTGCAAACAATGCGTCCATCAATCTTCAGCGTCGTACTGAAAGCCGTAACTGGGAGAGAAGTTCCATTTCTGCCCACGATGGACAAAGACTTCGATGCCGAGTTTTCTGAATCGGCATTTTCTTCTTGATAGACTGGCCCTTCACATCTCAGTCCAGTTCGTGGCGATAACAGACTAGTCGACCCTCGTAAGAACTCCCTGGGGTCCACAATTATGTTCCTCCACTTTGAAGTACTTTCTTTTACACGATCGAGCTCGTAAAAACGCAATCGGAAATGAGAGCGGAAAACAGATTGAAAAGCTAAGGACCTTGACACGAACATAATGTAAAGTCGAAGAACAATAATATATATCACAATGTGTAGAAAAAAAAAACAGGAGTCCAGTATATGAGTGTACCTTTTCTTTTAAGATTCGATGGATTATGTCCAGGTGCGTCTCATGTGACAAATTTTTTTTCAGGCTCCTCCGATAGAGACATCAGTAAATCAAACTAAAGTTTCATGCTGACCCCGTTCTCATCTGTCACGCCCATCATTTTATCTATAAACCAGCGAGAAAACGCGATAGTGCAGCACGCCCAATTGCGCTTCAATTCCCGAACTCCTCTCAAGGAGTAAGGTCCAATACTGCGCAGGTACAGAGGAAACTATCAACTAAAGTGGAGCGAACGAACCAGAACGCCACTGCACACACATCTCACCACATTATCCAGATTCCACACGAAAATCCGAACGGAGCCATGAAACAAAGAGCGCAGGGCCGACAACAAACGACCGAGAAAAGCTGAGAAAATTCAGTCGAATCCACATGAACCGGAGAGGAGGAATCGAGTGACTGACTTCGACGAAACGAAAATTGGCGGCGGAGAAAAGTGAGCCGTACGCGACGCAACGCGACGAAAGAATGGCGGTCGAAATTGCTCGGAAATCGATCGCAGGCAGAGGCAGAGGCAGGGCAGGAGCAAGAGCGCAAGAGGGAGACGAAGGCGAGGGGCGAAGGAAGGCGCGGCTCTGGAGGACAGAAGACGCTCGGAAGCGAGAGAACGGGTCGAGAGTCGAGAGTCGGGCAATCGAGATTCGAGCGCACGGGCCCTGCTCGCAACGGCTAGCCCAAGGATACTCTCCCGCACGAGCCTGTGCCGAGCCTCCCGCGAAGCTCCACCATAGCTCAGGCACTTGGGCTCGTATATTCAAATGCTCTTGGTACGGGTTCAGTCAGTAGGTGACTCATAACTCGATACCGTGGCTCTGAGTACGAGAGCGCTGCGCCACCATCGTCCACTCAGAAATGTTCCTGTCTGTGAGTTTAGACTATGTAAGAAATATTATATGAATAAAATAATTTATTCAGTTGCAGCCAGTGTTCTCGAATAGAATTACCTTAGATAAATTAAAACCAAGTTCATATATCAGGAAGGGTAACATCATGCAGTTTCATTTCTAATGACACAATAAATTTCGAATAAATTATTTATGATAACAATCAATGCAATATCATATTTATGCTATATTTATTTATATGTTTATATACATACAATCTAATTTTGTGCCTAAAATTTCCACATAAATTCAAAAGTTTCTTTAAATATTATTCATAATATAAAATAAGATTTTATGAATTGATTATTTTCCAAAACAACAATTTCTTGTTGAAATTCAAATACATATAAACTTTACTCTTCTAAGAGATGATCAATACACCATACAAATATACCAAAATTGTTCTTTAACAATGATAAATTGTGACGATGTAATTGATCAATTTATGAAACATTCACATAATGAAGATATACCTTCATTTTAGTATTATTGTGATTTCGCTAGATATAATCTAATCACATTCCGAATATAGATCTTTGTAATCATCCTGATTTTATTCAAAACATAGTATTAATCTAATATGTGAATTGAATATGAAATTTAATGTCCTCATATAAAGACTACAAAATATTTCATTTTTGCATGGAATTACTTCTAATTCTTTGTAATATATAGAAATTAGAGATATTGATTTAAAATTCATAATAAAATCTTCAATATGCAATTTTATGAAAAAACAGAAAATTGATTTATCAGTAATGTTTGAAGAAAACTATGAATCTATTAATATATATATATATATATATATATATTATTCTTTATATTTTATTACCACTTACATCAATATTTTTAGCACATCTATTATGATGTAACATATTCTCAAAAATTTATCATAACTTTATTTGCTTAAGTCTGATGCACATATAGTTAATATGTGTAGCATTTTTTAAGTAAAATAATTAAACAAATAATGGATTATGATTGTGTACATAAAACCAAAAATGCAAAATAATGATTTTTCATAAATGAAAAATTTGAAAATTTTATTGACATTAATCAGTGATTTTTATGATAATTTTAATTTCATATAAGATTTTAATTACAATGTGATAAGTTTATAATTTGGAATTGTAATAAATGTTCTAAACAAACATCATACACATGTGCAATGCAGATCCAAATCCAAAATAGATTTGCTCTCATGATTTTATTTCAAAACTGTTTAAACAACTGAATATCATTATTAAAAAAAATTAACTCAATTTATTGATAATAATTGTATGAAAGGAAAACTTAGTTGTTTATTTTATCATTGTACATAGATTTATAAGAAACTATACCTATTGCAGATATAAAACAATTGTGTAATAGTTGATTTAAATAAACCTAATTAATTATATGAAGTAGCTTAGTATAAAATAAAAATCTTCAATGAAATTTTTCTTCATACATTTAGAATACCTAGTTCTTGTAATAATCTAAATGGTTGTTTATTGCATGTTCTATACTATTTTTATAAAAGAATATCAAAATGTGATCACTTGAATTAAATTTAAAAAATTGTGTAGATTCAATGTTAAAAGCTCATGTGATACATTTTTATTTAATTTTTTGCTAATAAATAAATGATTTTTTTTTCAGATATGAAATATTATAAAAGTTGACTAATTAAGATTCTTGAATGAATAAAAACCCAATCTTTGATACGTGTATAATATGTGTTCTACATTGCTTTAAAATTGTATGTTACTCCTTAAATTTGCAAGTATCCACACTGGCTTTCAAATGTTCAAAACAATAAATTATTTATGAAAATTTTGATAAAAATCAATGCTAAAATTTAATTTAACAGTTATCATAAAATATTCATACAACATGTGCTAAGGTGGTGATTAAATGTTGCTATAGATTGATTTGAAATGGTGGTTGATCATTGATACAAATGATATCAATGATTGACAAATACTATGTAAAAATGATGCTAAAAGTTGCTCAAAAATGATAAAAAATGATGATAAATTGTAGGTTTTTATAATTCAATATAATTAGAAATATGATGATATAGATAGATAAATAAAAGGATGAAGTATTCATATGAAATATACCAATATGATGATAAAAAAATGATACAAAATAAAGATAAAATGATAAATTTTTGTTATGAGATGCCTCATAGTGTTGATAAATTGTTAATAAAAGTTGATACAAAGTACTTATATTAATGCTAAATAATTACTAATCACATAATGTTAATTAATCAAAAATCAATTAATAATTACAATGTTGATTAAGAAAAATTTTTTGCAATTCATAAAATTATTATTTTCAAATCTATAAGAAATCAAAATATATTATATATTGATCAAAGTTAATGTACCTTCCAAGATTGTCAAATAACAAGATCTAAAACAATTGGCAATAACAAAACAATGCGATACTCTAATAAATATAAAAATTTGTCTTACAAAAACTTGAGGTGGTAGAATAAGTGTAAGTCAACAAAGGATGATGACCACAATTGATAAGAAAAAAAATCTAGATTATGTTGACAATCAAAACATTGAAAAAACTTTCTATTCCTGACAAGAGTTTTGTTAGTATGAAGAGATATTTTAGAAACAAATGTCAATGACGTTAAGACAATGCAAATTTTCATGAAGTTAAAAAAAATTGAAGAATTTAAAAAAGCTCGGTAGTACAAGAACTAATATAGAACTGATGCAAAGTTTTAGATAAAATTTTAACTTATAATAGTGTTTTGAGTGATTGGAAGAGCATTGTGAAATTATTAAAATATTTGATTATATTCAATTCACAAAATGTTTAAAATTGAATAATTGATGCGTATTCTAAGAGTAAAATTAACAGTTCGTAAATTGATTTAAAATTGAAAAGTAGTAGCTATTGTTAAATTTTAATATAAAATTTAGATATAGATGAATAGTTTCACTGGTTGCAAGACATGTTGCAATGATATGATTAAATAGTAATAAAGTTTAGGCATTGCGTTCTATTTTAGGTTAGTATTTTGATTATGCTGGAGTGATTTTGAGTACAAGTTATAAGTCATCACTTGCTATGAAAATAAAAATAAAATATTAAATCTAGAAATGAAATAAAAATTTTACATTATGTTTTGCAAGATCATTATGGAAATTAAAAAAAACATGATAAAGACTTCAAATTTTTTTTTGGACTGAAATTTTAAATTATTTGTATATAATTTGATTAGTAGGCTAAAAATAAATTAAATAGATCATTTTTTTAAAATAAATTATATATAGAAAAAATTGATACAATATTTATAATTTCTACTATAAAAATTACCATTATAAATTTTTGACACAATAAAAAATTTAATTAAATAATAATAAAAATAGTAATATATCACTTATCTTAAAAATATATGATATTTGAAGCATAATTATATTAGTCTATCATCTTTCATATTTATTTCATTAATATGTTTCAATAATAAAAATGATAGAGAAATTATCAACGAAAATAAAATTAAAGATGGTTAAAGTGTCCATGAGCACAATCAAAATATTAGTATCTAGATATATTACATATTTTCCGACAAGTTGGAGGATCCATTGTAGACACTTGTCTTGCGTGTTGGAGGAAGCTATGGAGAGCGAGAAAGGTCACTCGTAATCTAACGAGATTATAGAGTCAGACGAGTCAGCTGGTAGTGAGATAAACAGCGGTCATGACTCATCACGAACCTTTTCGTTTGGATTCTCTGGGACACGATCACGGCTCTTCTCACGTGAAGGGATAAAGAGATGCGTTTCGGTCCGAAAAGCTCCTGGCAATATGTACTCGTCGCCGGGTATGGCCTGAACTCTGCGAGGTGTATACGGAGACTCTCGTCTCGATCATTGCAGACCGTTTGCCATGCAGGACCGTCGCCCATCACGGTCCTGTCTCGTGCCCATTTGGGTCGACTTGAGCCACTTTTCCATACTGTACCTGTTATGTCATAGAACTGGTGTTACTCTAAGAAGATTCGCTCCTTACAGCGCAAGGTTCTTATGCCGAATGATCTGATCCTCGGACATGCTCGTCCGTGTTGCCGTAATTTTCATGTTTCAGATCATTCTCCCTTTTTCTTTTTGAAATTATAGGTTCTTATGCCGAATGATCTGATCCACGGACCTGCTCATACGTGTTGGCGGTAATTTTCATGTTTCAGATCATTCTCCCTTCTCACTTCCTTCTCCTTTTTCTGCTTGAAATTCCATGTGGAGGACGTGGATTGCATCAAAGTCCCAGATGGATCAAGGATCTGTTTCATGGATCTGCCTACAAGATCGTTTCCCTTACAAGGCCTTCGAAGCTGAAGCTGCCGTTACCGTTTGTCCTCATGTTTGCGATCTACTCCCATGACATTGTGAGAGACAGTGTTGGACATGGCCGGGGCTCCTTCGTCTGCCCTTCCTTTTTGTGGTCAATGACGTCTGTATTCTCGAGTTACACGCATCTTTCGTAATCTGAACCTCCGTGTCCAAAGATATTACCTTTATTTTGCTGGAAAGTTGGAGAGCAGGTTTATAAGGAATTGATGCTACTTACCTGCAGAGACCACTGGAATCTTACTGTGTTGGCACACCTTTATTTTCTGTCATAGCCTGGCCGCTCGTATTGAGTACTTGTATTCGATCTTGGTATGGGATTATATATGGAGTAGTTACCACATTGGCAGCACACTATGTAACCTTTCCATGAAGCGGTTCTTCTGGGCCTCATTCCTTTTCCGATTCATGCAAATGCACAGCTAAGTAGGGCAGCGTTGCATCATCAACATTAGGTCGGATTCACCGCCAGTGAGCGCTTAAACTTCCACAATTTTATACTCGAAGTATCCAATGATCCCGAATTATTTTCAAAGTCTTGTTGGTTTCTAATCTGGTGATATTGTTCAGTATTGTAACTGCAGTTTCCATAAAGCGACAAAATATCATCAACTTCATGCACAAAGAATACAATACTATGATGTACGGCATGTGCACAGGAGTTGACTGTTCTGCACAGTTTGTTTACCTTCTGATGACGATCATTTGACGGTCTATGTTTATTCAAAAATCACTGTCAACGATGTACACGTTGTACAGACTTGTTTGTAGCCATTGCCTGAGTTTTACTGTTTAGCAATGCAAATGTAATCTAGCGACCAACTGTTAAGCAATGCAAATGTCAAACCTCCATACTGATTTGCGTCTTCGTGGGTATCCGTAGAAGACCGAGTCCACATTAGAAGGCAAGCAAACTCCAGTACAGACAGAAGAGAGACATTAGAAAACTCTTTTGTGGTAGTGACAGACAGCTAGCAAACCTGGATCACAGTTATAAAGAATGAAGAGGGACAGAGTGAGATCAGCTGCTGGTCAATGAAGGACCTGTGACATAGCTATGCTCGATGGAATCTTGAGGGTGGAGATTTAACACCTTCCTGTCTTTGTTGCAACGAATTTGCCAGCTTTCAGAAATTTATTTCTGTCATCTAGTTTCAGTCTTTTCAGGAACACGATTGGACATCATCACCTCCCTTCGTAAGAGGCAACTCTCGAGCTCCAAGAAAACATAATTGCACAATCAGATTTGGTTCCACAATCACATCAGTCTGTTGCATGTCCATCACCAGCGGATGCGTGCGAATATAGATGGCGATAGAAAACGATAAGTTGTTGTAACGTCACATTCTCCTTCACAAATGGGTTATATCCGAAAACATATATATCGAGTGTTTTATGGATAGCCAGCTGACTGCGAAGGCATGAGATGAAAACATTGTACTTTCTTTGTACATGCGATGGATCAGAAGTCCTGCTGTTATTAACAATCTGCCAAAATCTGGCTCTGTACACTATTTACCACGAAAGGATCATGCATGCAGACCATAACTGTCATTAAGAACACCGGCTGGCCGTGGGAGTTTGAATGGTTTTACCTAGAGTCAAATTTCTCGTCAGAATCAGCCCTTCTGTATTGTGATATATAGTGTGACCTCTTTCATGAATCAAAGACTGATTTCAGTTGGTTGTTTCCAAATTGAATCCAGCACCGATAGCAAGATTGCGGAAAGATAGACCCAGAATTTGCCTCGCGGTTTCTGCTCTACATTTCGAGCAAAGCGACTCTGAACCAACAACTAACTACAAATTGCTTGCAATGATACGTTCGGACGTCATCAAGTCAAAAAACATAGACATGTCGAGTCTTCATTCGAGATACAAGGCTCTATGAAGTCACCGGTCTGTTCCGAGACCATATTTTGCATCGTCTCAGCTGCAAGCATTACAAGCACTCTTATAGGTTCAGTTCATCTGGTTTTGCAGCCTGATGAAATACTTGTTCCTTACCTCTCGAATTTTAGAGGGAATTTCCGGATCCTGTAAATCTTAGTTCTATCTATCTGTATACCTTCTGCCATCATGAATGTGCACGTGAATACAATCATGTAGCTGTCCTACCAGTATGCAGATCCGAGCGTCCGTGTAAGTTCGAAGATGGCTGTGTAAAAATCGATTTATCTGATGAATAGTGGTGGACATCTGTCACTTCCGGAGTGTAGGAAAGATACAGTCAGCTGGTCACCACGCTTTGATCATCGAATCGATAGTATTGTTGGAAGAGCACGGAGACGGGTGATGTCAGCTGCTTCAGAGGGATCCAATCGAACAACCAATTGGAATTTCGTAAAGGCCCTGCTAAGGACCTGATGAATGATGAGAAATAATCCTGCCTTGTCACCGTCGGAGTGAGAAACTTGAGGACTAGTACTGAAAGCTGTGAATGAAGAGTCTGATCTCGAGACCCCGCGCACTGTATGCAGGTTGACTGAATCTGGGCGGAAACCCGCTCACTTATCAAACGCTGCACTCCAAATCAAATCAGGATCTGGGTTCAACTTGCGTTCTGACAACCTCAAGAACAAAACTTGCAGACACTCTTGTGTCTAAAACCTCTTCTTTCTTGGATGTGTCTTGTTCTCGTCACTGGATTCAATGACAATAAGATCACAGACAAACATCAGTCCTCTAGAAACAGACTCCCAAAGACTGATATGGGGGCATAGCGGTGAACAATTGACAAACTTGGCAGTGTAGGCTGCACAGCACAAGTAAAGGCTAATCATGCAGTGCCAGTGGCTTCATCACGACAAACAGAAGGTGCTTGTGTGCATTCTACCGGTGCAGGTTTGAAACCATCGATACCCCAGTTAAAAAAAAATTATTCTTTGTACGTCCGGGTTTAACTACTTTAGCTTTCTTCGGATAAACAACGAGCGAATAGTGTTGTGGAAAAGTATGACTTCATAGACCTGAAAGTCAACCACCGAGCTCCACATTCAATCAAAAGAAGGCAACAAGGATTTAAAGGAAAAGGGTTGCGTAAGTGAGAACGATTGAGAATATAGCAATTTAATGTGTCGGATGTCAAACCTTCTTGAGCAACGTGTGAGCGATAGCTGCAGATCTAAATATGCCTTGCCAAGTTGTTGAGACAGATGCAATAACATATGATCTCATTGACTAGTGCGAAGAACAGTGCGTGATACGATACTACCCACTCGTTAGACGCACGACGACAAGTCGAGACACTCGTTGGAGCCCGTGCTCTCCTACCCTATGAATGCACAGAGATGTCAACCCATTTTGATACCCCGTGTTAACTCGAATCATGTCAAACGAATGCAATCGCCTCGGGGATCCATCCGCCCACTTACAGAAGCTGTGGGCTGCTTATGGAACTCGACTTTGTTCTAAATATTGAGATGTTTACGTTACAGTAAGCATGCCGGTTGTACTCTCACGAGAGTTGAACTTTTCAGCTCGTATAGACTGGCATGCACATCAGGGCCCTGGGCCCCGCAGTCTCTCTCTCAGTATTGTTAAGACTTATGAGCAGCGAGTGAGCGAGTCCTTCCCGGAGAAGGTGCCTACCCGGCAGCTGCACTGCGCTCAGCTCAGAGCTTTTAGAAGAATCATTTTTCGTCTTGAACTCAGCGCAGCGCTGAATTGGAGATTCAGCTGGCATAGCTGAAGAGGGAAACTTGAGGGGAGGAACTTGGCGGAGTGAATTGTCCACATCTGCTCCGAGCGTGAGAGTCATGTGTGCCAGCATGACTGAAATGTGCTTGGTTACCTGGCTGAAGCAATTTGTTGAGTTCTGTGCAGCGCTAAGAGTGCCAGTGGGCCAGTCTGATGAGAGATTATATGCATATATCATCATAGTCCAAGGCCAGAGTTGATTGAACTTCGCAGGACAGTAAGTCTAATCCAGATGCAGATTCTCAGCCACCGAGTCAACAAAAGTCGACCATAGAATATGTTGGCATATGGAGCCCACAACAGATCACTGATAGCTAGCTGAAAGAACAAGAAACCTCCTTCCCATGCAACACATCTGCAGGATATTCTGTCACTGGACCGAGTCGTCTAGCGTTGACGGTCCCGCATCCCTTATTCCAACTTAACCTTTACCCAGAGGAGCATTGAAGTTGAACTGTGAGCACCCGTGCACTTCATGTGCTGTACCTAGGGGTACTGATTGATAAGATTTTCACTTAACTACAGTTAAGCATACGTACCCGTTCCTGCTTCTCATCACTGTGAGAGATTCTGAGATCATCGACGACAGATGAGGATAAAAGATTCAATGGATGTGCCAACACTTCAACTCGGACCAATGTATACCATTGCAATACTGTCGAGATTTTTGTATCTACTCTTTTGAGTCTTTCACAGGAATAAGAGTGATCTCCGTTGCCAATCCTGGAAGTCAGGCCCATTTGGCAAAATGGTGTGCGTAATTGTAAAGAGAGGTAAACTTTTGATGTTAAAAGACTCAATGGTTCAGTGGCAGGTTTCGAGTCAGAGGAATTAATCGAGAATTATGTATTTATCCGGACGGTAATTTAGCGAGCGAGCAGCTCGTGCAGTCTTCTGAGCAGGAGATGCATCCTTCTGTATGAAGTCTCATCGATCCATTATTAGAATATGCATGCAGATGCTTAAGGATTTACCGCACCGTTCAGGCGATAACAGCGCTCTCAAAGTGCTGTATGGGTCCAGGGTTTACTGGCAATCATGAATTGTTATTCTATTGCGCATCACTGTGTCACACAAGCTCTCACATCCCACCTAACGTGCAACCGTTGCTAGGCCTGACAAACTTTTCGGTATATAAGCCACCCAAAGTGCCCTTTGGATGCACTTCTTGGTCCCCTCTAGAACTTCCTATATGCTCATGGTTGGATACCTGAAATATCTGCTTCTCTAGAGCTCAGAATGAGGTGACAGCCGAGCCACAAAAAGAAAATACTTGGACTCTGACGCACTGCAACTCAGGTACCACCTCTCACTGAATCTTCGTCCTGTATTTGATCTCCTCATCGGATTTCGACAACGCTCCCACCGAGAGGGCGCAGTACTCCAGCTTAGACTTCGAAAACGAAATCACAGCATTTTGTCAAGTTTGAGGACGAGCAATACTTGTCACGAGCTTCGGGCCGAAGATGTCTCAGATCAGTTGCGTCCCCTTAATTGGGATGCTCCTCTTCTATGGGGTGCTGGTGGATGGCTACTATCCCACCCTCTATGATAATTATTATGCCAGCTCCTGTAAAGACGCAGAGTCCGTGATTCAGCAGACCGTGAGCGCCGAGCTTGACAAGGACCTTAAGCAAGGTGCTGGTCTCATCCGTATGCAATACCACGACTGCTTCGTTGAGGTAAGTATCAAAGAATTCTGAGAAGTCAATTTCATCCATTCTGCAGTCGTGCGACCATTTGCAACTCAACTCCAGTCACCTCTCGTCTCTTCTCTTCTGCTCTGATCTGCTCTGCTCTGCTGTTCTCTTCTCTTCTTTGCTTCTGCGTTTCCACCTTTTATAAGAAAGTGCCCGACAAGAAGGAGTAAATCAGACTCGCGGGGCGAGATACGGACGAGTGGAAATGACAGGATCTCTTCCACACTCTAGAATTCAGAAATGCGATCCGATAGCTGTCACGTGTTGCAGAGATCGAGTCAAGTCACGAAGATTGAGTGTTGGTTATTATTATTTGACAGGGCTGCGACGCGTCAATACTGCTCGATGGACCAGACGCGGAGAAGACGGCTGATGTGAACGCTCACTTGAAGGGCTTCGACGTGATCGATGCCGCAAAATCGGCCGTGGAGGCAATCTGCCCGGGCGTCGTTTCATGCGCGGACATTATAGCTTATGCAGCTCGGGACAGCACGGTCAAGGTACCACACCCACACTCGCAGCAGCTGGAGCTGGTCCCAATGCATTCTTTAGACTTAAGCAGCAGTCGCCCGAGCTCAGGCTCGGACGACAGTAATTCTTGTGATTTCATGCTTTCCAGTTGATTGTGGCTGTGGTTTGACGAGGACCTGTGAAGAGCTATGGTGAAATCTGACTCCTGGAGTGCTTGGGATGGTTGATGGCTCCAGTTAAATGGTTCGAGCTGGGTGGTGCAAGGAGGAAGAAAAGATGGTATTGTTTCCAGCGCCGCCAATGCTGAAGCTAATATTCCACCGCCGACATTCGAGGTGACGCAGCTCATCGACGCTTTCGTGCAAAGAGGACTGACTGCATGGCAGATGGTGGTCCTCTCGGGCTCGCACACGGTCGGAGTGGGGCACTGCGATAAGATTGTCTCGCGGCTCTACAATTTCGACTCCACAGACTTCACGGACCCAACCATCGACCCGACGTACGCCGAGCAGCTTAAGGCCGACTGCCCGCAGTTCACTTTCAACACGACCATCGAGGTGTTCATGGACGTGCTGACTCCAGGTGAATTCGATTCCGGCTACTTCGACACTCTCGAGCAGAGCAAAGGTCTCTTCACTTCCGACCAATCTCTGTACCTGGACTCGCGGACCAAGAGCTCCGTGGAAGCTCTCAAAGATGAGGCCAAATTCGAAGACGAATTCGCCAAGGCCATGATCGCTCTCGGGACCGTCGGAGTAAAAACCCAAGGCCAGGTCCGCACAAACTGCCGTGTGGTGAACAGCTAGGCCCAGCCAGCCAGCATTTGATAGACAAAGCTGCCATTGTGAAAACGTGTCCTAATCCGAATTTTCACGGGATTTCTCAATAAAGCTAGTACTGCTGCTATATATATTATTGTGGTGTCCTGGGCCTTTCCAACCACTACATTTTATGCCTTCAACTGCTACCATGATTGTCTGGCTACAAGTGCTTGCGAATCTTCATCTGCTCTGTTCTCTTGTGTTTCGTTTCGGTCGCCTGAATGCCATACCAATGGGTACAATGATCAGATTTGTGGCGGACATGGCTGGACAGGAAGTGGCCCCCTTCCCAAGAAATGTAAAGTTGGAGTGACTGTCAGTATTCCAAATGGATCTTCGTTAAAGAAGAAACATGTAGACAAAAACCTTGAATGCATCGTGGCGATGAGGAGGCTCTCCTTTAAGTTGTGGAGGGAGGTTTTTCCAATTCTGTAAGGCCTTCTTTCTGTCCAGAAGAAATCCTCGAAATGCTCTAGAAGCAAATTCAAAGCAATTGAAGACGCTTTCTATGAGTAAACCCCCACACATGGCAAGCACGTGCCTTGGGGCCACAATGCAATCAGACGACAATTATCAGTATACTTGTTGTCGCCTGTGGAACTACAGCTTCTCTGAGGTCCAAATTTCGTCCACTTTTTCACAAGAGCAGAACCGGAAATTGAGCTCAAAATTGAGCTCAGCGTTCAGTTGCTACAGAGTCTGTGAGAAGAACTGTCGCTCATGACGTACCTCAAGGTGATCAGATCAGTTTGTCTCTGCTATGGCCGATGATAAAAGAGCCATCTCCTTATGAACCAACGATTTACAAGAGCTTGCTCATCAATGAGTCTGTGGGAATCAAAACATTCTAACCGCCGTCAGTATGAGGTCACAAGTTCTCGGCTGCGTCCCTTCTCAAAGCAATCTTGTAGGTTTTTGTGAGCTGGACTATGTCATTATCCATTCATTGAGCCGAGTGATACTGAAAGGGAAGAGCTATATCAGAGACTTTGACTCACTCAGCCCTGCATGCAGTCGTGGCCATGCTATCAATCACGAAAAGTGTATGTTTAGCTCCTTAGGTCTGTTTCTGTGACATATCTGAAAAAGAAGGAGGGACTTTGTTCGCTATCGTATTTTGCTCCATGGACAAATCGTGTTTTGCTCCATTGTCTTTTGTTTCACGGTGAGAAGCCGACTGCTTTCCATATATTCAGACATTGATTGTTGTCCAGCCATTATGTCTCGAATATATGGCTGGGACCACATATCCTGGCTTAACAGTTCTCTCCACGCCCCTAAAGCCTTTCGACTTGCTGTACTGGTGCATATTATAGTGCACTATAACATTATGTGCAATTTGTATACAGTTTTCCATTCTCCCCTACACGGACGTGTCTGAGTCTGCTATGACTAGCCCGAGTGCTTTTCTAATCGCTCTCGTAGGTGTGTACTGAATTCCAAGACCTCCTACTCTCGCATATGAGCATCTGTAGGCCTTGAAAAGCATTCCAACACACGACAGTGACGACACAAATTCACACAATCTTGATTGATAAAATCCTATAGGGCCACTCTCCATGCCAATCGTAAGTCCGTGACAGTGCTCCAGCTGCTCCCGGTGAGATGGACAAGAAACGTGAGGTATGTCTCGGCCGGGTTCATCTTTTCTCTCCCCGCAACGGATGCATGTGTCGCTGGAACCGAGTTGCCGGACAGACGTCAGGCAACACTGAACACGTCAAGATTTATGCACCGGCTTCTCACGATGTTCAATTGCTTCTGGAAGATTTCCGCACTAACGCGAGCTTCATGACTGAATCTCCTCCAACATGAACCATGGGTAACAAAAGCAAAGCGTTGTAGACTTCACTTTTGCATGAAAAAGTCAGACTGAGAAAGTAACTCGATAGATGCCAAAAACTTCGAGCTCTGATGAGTTGTCGACTTACGCGATTAGCTGAACAACGGAGCAATAATGAATCACCACCGCACACTGGAACCGGTTTCAGAAACACACATCGTATTTTCTTAAATTAGAATGGGTAGTGACTGCCAATTCTGGTGATAGGATGATTCTTTATATCCATGTACAATGTAGTTGGAGTTCTGATGTTTTTCCTCTGGTTTCCCTGACCGAATGAGATGAGTCTCATTCGGTCTGAAGAGAGTGCTTGTGATGACTCTGTGCTATCCTTCAAGCTTGTGAAATTTATGGACTCCCGCCACACTTTCAATTGGTGGTTTAATTCTTCACCTTTTCGATGTTTCTCTTCTCTTGAAGTTCTCCTCTGTAAATGATGAATTTGAAGGTGTATACAGAAGAACGTGATGATTCTTCTGTATCTTTTAATCTTCTTCTCAGGCTATGAACTCTATTCGTGAAAACAGAATCTTTGACAACATGAAGCCATATTACGTCTCCTCGGCATCCCTAATAGCAGAGTCGTGTAGCTTCCGACATTCTGCTCGTGCAGAAGCCCAGCTAGGGACTTGTGAAGTCAAGATCGGTTATAAAGACTTGTCCTAGTTCATGGAGCCACTGGAAACATAGCGTGAGCAGGCCATGGAGTCAAGTCCATGGTCCGTTGAGAATGATGGACCACGTGCTCATACCCTTGAGCCCAAGTCAGTGAGCTCGGACACCGAACAGTCCGGTGAAAGCTGAGGACACCATCGTTCCCAACTGAAGCACCTTGTGTGTGAGTAGTAGTAGTAGGTTGACCCTTAGAATTTCTTCTGGGAGACAACTGACAGCATGTCAGCTGCTCTACCAGTTAGGCCTTACGTATGGTATCGAAATGACAAGTAGCACTTCATGAGCTCAAATGTCAACTCTGACGCTTCTGTTGTCAAATTTTCCCCTTGCCTTCAGTTTTCATCATCTGCTCTTTTCATGAGTGGATTTTCAGCTCTTGTTGGGATCATACCTGGCAGTCATCTTCCCTACCTCTACGTCAACGTCTGCAAATTGACATCCTAGGTTTTCGAACTGCTTGAGCTTAATGGCCGAGAGAGGTTGCAGCTCCTCTATGTGCTGCGGGAGGTCGATGGTGTTACGTTGATCTATTGAGGAGTTTTTACGCACTGCCTCTGCATGATTGCATCGAAGGCTTTCCTTGTCAGTCACACAATCTGTCCAAACTAAGAACTAAATTTAGTCATGAGCAGTAATGAAGTGAGCGCCAGACATGCAGAAGACGCAGTCAAGTTCAGGACTTGGTCAACTGTCAACAAGCCGTCAGATCTCAGGGAAGACAAATGATGAACTTCCTCTGTCTAGTACGAATCGGAACCCCGAAAATGTCTATCACAACAGATGTCCTTTCATTCTATGACATACATTTGAAGTTTACAGCTAATTCTGCAAAGACAGCCCCAAGTTCACGCAGTAGTTAGCTTCATTGTCGATTGAGTAAACTCTCCCCTGTCAGGAACTGAGCTGAATTCTTGCCTTGATTTGATTTGCCTTGGTCAGAAATTAGGAAATACTATCTCCGGATCGTTGCATATCGGTCCTACAATTCATATTGTCGCTTCCAATAAAAGTCGGAAATCGGACAGTAAAAAATATGTCGGATCGCATCAGCGAGGATGACGAGAAAATCGCAGTGGGAATTGATATGGGCGCTAGATCCTGCTGCGTAGGGATATGGCATCAAGGCAAAGTCGAGATTCTTCCAAATGAGCATGGGAACCGGAGAACACCGTGTTTCGTGAGCTTCACAGAGACGGAGATTTTGGTGGGCGAGGCCGCCAAGGATCAGCTGTTGGTGAATCCTTCCAACACAGTCTTCGGTGAGTCACCCTGCATTTTGCACATTTAGCAAGCTCATGATCGACCCCTTGATTTTTAACTCTGTTCTCAAATTTCTTCGGGAATTGCCGTGGGTCACAATCGACTCTGTCAAATGCTACTCTGTCCTTGCGCTAGATTTCTGATTTGTGAGAGAGGCTTGAAGTCCTCTGATCCGCTGCTGCATTGGTGCATCAAGAAGGACTCTCCCATATTCCATCCGCTATTAATTACTTGGCAATGTAACCTTGTTGCCCTCTAACAGGAATGATCTGTAGGAATGAGGTTGTATAATTAACCTCACAATCCACATTCGTTATGCGATGGTTTGAATGATGATGCAGCAAACCACAACTCAATCAAAGACCCATAACTTTCATATCAGAACTTCTCCGATAATCCGAGAATGATCACAGAAATCCCCTGTAGCCAGAACCACTTGTGGTCAGTCAATCCGCCGGAGTTGTGTATGGATGATTGGACATGTGGATTGCCCCGTATCTACCAACTACTCTTCATTGGGGGTCAAGCTCTTCATTCAATTCTAGGCCAGAGTCTTCAACTGAGATTCCTCCTCGTATCGAAACCACCAGAGGACTAGATTTATATGAAGATCATCAGCAGCTAACTTCGTCTGTGTTTTTTTGGTCATCGTGCCTTGCCTGCTTGTGTCACATTCCCCTCACATTCAGTCGCTAGTAAACACACAAGAAGAAGAAACTTCCTCCTTTCAAGCCCTGCTAGAGTAACGGAGCACGTGAATCAAGTCCACGAGAGTGCCTAACTTTTAATTTGCAGACGAATCTTATTTATGGAGCTTCAGAACGTCGTTAGTTGATCCAAGTCTTGTTGGTTCACAGATGTGAGGACTTTGATAGGAAGGCGATATTCCGATGCGCAAGTGCAGGAAAAATTGAAGCATTGGCCGTTCAGAGTGACGGCTGGGCCAGATGACAAGCCGGTGATCACAGTGATGTTTCGAGGGCAGGAGACGCAGTACAAACCGGAGGAAGTCCTGGCTATGGTGCTGACGAAGATGTTGACTATTGCCGCCACGTTCGTCGGGAAACCTATCAAAACCGCAGTTATCAGCGTTCCTGCACACTTCGAGGACTCTGAAAGGTATGGCATGAAAGCTGTTGCTAAGATTGCCGGACTTGAGAAGCTCAAGTACATGGTGAAGGAGCCGGTTGCTGCAACTTTGGCCTACATGTGCATCGAGAATGTCGAGGTCATGAGAAGCAGGGAAATGAGGTACTTGATCTTCGACTTCGGTGCCCGTGCATTGGACGTATGTCTCATTGACTTCGAGGAAAACATTTGTGACGTCTTGACGCAGTCCTCCGACCCGAGCCTCGGTGGTCAGAGCCTAGACGACCGCCTGCTGCATCACTTTGCTCAGCAAATCGAGAAGAAGCTTCAGACAGACATCTTCGTCGACTCTGAAGCCTTGTACCGGCTGAAGTCAGTCTGTGAAGAGCTGGGAAGGAAGTTATCCTGCAGCTCGGAATGCAGCACTGAGATGGTCTGGAAAGGTTCTGAGATCCAGTTGAGCATCACGAGGGACGAGTTCGAGGACATGAGCATTGACCTCGTGCAGAGCTGCATTGCTCAGGTGGAGAAATGCCTCTCATACGCCAGGAAATACAAGATGGAAGTGGACAGATTCATCCTGGTGGGAGGCTCGTCCCGCATTCCCAAGCTGCGGAGCTTGCTGCAGGACATGTTTGGTAAGGAGTTGAATGACGAAATCAATCCAGACGAAGTTGTTGCCCACGGAGCGACCATTCAAGCTGCTCGGAATTTGGACCTGTATGCGATTCCAGGCGATGAAAACCTCTCGGGAGAAACGTATTGTTTAATAGGACCTGATTTGATGCCGTTCAATCTCGGTGTGGAGACTGCCGATGGGGATTTGTCAGTTCTCGTGCGCAGGAATACGTACATCAATAACAAAATCACTGGCACGCAATCTTTCTCCACACTTTTTGACAATCAAACGTCTGTTGTGCTTCACATTTACGAGGGCCAATGCCCTTCAGCCAAAGATAATCGACTTGTAGCCACGCTTGAGTTGTCTGGACTCGTACCAGCTCCAAAAGGCACTCCTCAAGTCCAAGTAGCTTTCAGCGTCCAGGAAGATGGCCTTCTGACGGTTGTTGCAGAGGAGAAGGAAGCGGGAGTCAGAACAGAAATGTCCTTTCCAGCATTTTCATGGTCACACTCTTGTCTTAGTCGGAAACTGACAATTGACCAGGAAACACAACTTCTAGCCGACGGTGAGGAGAAGAGAATCTTGCGAGGCTTACCAGAGTACTGGGAACGAGAAGGAACGACATCTCTGAACTTGCTCAGCGGTGCTTGCATTCAGGCCGGACCTTGCTGACAACCTTGTGCATTGCAAACCAAAGTTTCTCAGTTCCAGTTCTAGATCCTGTGCTGCCTTCTTAACTAGAAGCTCTCTTGCGCTATGTAGCTTCAGTACATAGTGCCATAAGGGCTCAGTCTGCTGACCTGAATCTGGGTAGTGAAAATGTAGACTTGCTCATGGTGCAACACTTTGCACGAGAAATTGAGACGGGGTTCCAGGTTGACATCTCCGTTGATTCAAAAACCTTGTTTCCTTCTCAAGTCACTCTTAAACGAGTTCAAGAGGGACTCATTTGTAGTTCGGAATCGACCAAGGAGATGATCTGGAAAGATGCCGAAATGCTGATCAGAAGTACATGGAATGAATTTGTGGAGATGACTATGGATCTCATGCAGAAGTGTGTCGCTCATGTCTCGAGATGACTCCAAACTGCCGAGAAAAACAAGACGGAAATTGAAAACCTGATCCTCGTGGGAGGCTCGTCCCGCGCACCCAAGCTGCGAACCTTGCTGCAAGACTTCTTTTAAGGGCAGGAGCTTTTGTGATGCCATAAACCCAGACTACGTAACTGCTTAGGGGTTTTTCTTCATTCCAGGCAAGGCGAGGCAGGCAAAGACGTCCTACATGATCTGGGAAAGTATGGATTCCCACAGCCTTATATCTTTGATAGGAGCCAGCAGATGAGGCTATGGCTCTCATTGTAAGCAGGAATCCGTCAATAAAGCATGGTACATGGATGGAAGCATTTTCACTGACTGTGACTATAAGGTTGTTGTCGTCACTTTGTTTTCCGGCAATGCCTCACAGGGCAACACAATCGATTACAGAAATTGCAATGCTCTCTGGACTCCAACCATCTCTCGAAGCTAATCCTCGGGTTGAAGTAACCTTTGCCATCGAGATAGAGGTCATCTACCTCGATGACCTTTCCGCAATTGTGGCAGATGGAAAGATATCTGAACTCCGAGGAGGAAAGGATATAAGGAGTCTAGATTTGACAGTGATACTTTTTATGCTACATATGAAAGTGACCACTGAGGAGGTAGAAAATTACGGATTCATGTTGTTTTTGTACAGGGAAAAGGTTTGACTATGACTGAACAATATGACTGAATGAAATACTCCCGCAATGTTTTTTACAGGCTGGATTCCCAAAGCTGCACAGATCATCATGGGCCCTGCTGAAAACTAAATCAATGCCGCCAGTTGCCAGAGAAATGTTTCCATCGTTTGGTTCAGTTTAATAGTTTGAACTGTTTTCTTAGATAATGTATCGATGTAACAACACGAATGTGGATGTGTACAGAATGACGAGGCAGTTTCTATGCCCGTTCTGTTGCTTGCATCTAGTTCAGTCGAATGTGCAATAGAGTAAGACTAGCTCTGCACGCCGATAATGATCATGCTCATCTGTGAAGCAGAGGCCAACATTTTGCTTCAAATTTGTACTCAGACCAGACCGTAACCATCAGGAGACCCACCAATAGCATTACCTGTGACCACCCATGTTATTCAAATTGTGTAATGTGTATTGCCCGCCTACACCAAGTCTTGGTTGGATTTGACAAACAAAAGGTTTTTCACTGGTGCTGGCTTCAGCCCAAAGCGCTTCTTGGTAAGTATTCCTTGCATCCTAGAAGTTTGAGTTCGATTTGGAGCTGAATGAGGGTATACACAAAACCTAACGCGACATGTGAAGGCTCCTTTCTACTGACATGTGTGCATTCTTCTCGCACTCCAACAGAGTAAGAATCTATCAAGCTTTTCATAGGGTTCGGCGGGTAAAAGATTTTGTTAGTACAAGAGATCATAGAATATATATAGCCTATCACAGTACGCGACAGAGAATATTACTTTTTCTTCTTTAATGTATAGTTTCTTTTAACCATCCTGTTTCCATGGCTTCTTTTGATCGTTCAACAAAGCTTTGAAAAACATGCAATTTACATTACATAAGAAGATGCTCGTGTTTTTTCGTAACAGATACTTGTATATAGGTGTCTAAAATATTACTAACAACCATACAATAATAACTTTATAATTTGATAGATTCTTAGTTATAGAATTCAACGCAACACGTGTCATCTTAATTTATTGTGTTGACATGACAAACAGGTTACGTCCAGATCTCAAACAGTATTGATCAAGCACTTATCCATTTGGAAGCTATTTCATCCATAACCACCTGTACCCATGGACAATAATATCACCCAAAATCCATGGGCATTGACGGGTTTGGGCATGGATATGGGCACCCAATGTTGGGCCGTGGAGTGAAGTGCGAGGTCTCCAAGTTCTTCAACTCCACCAGCATGCTTGCACTTGTCACGTCATGGACTTCACCACGCTCAGTCTGGTGTGTGCAAGCATTCGGAGTTCAATTTACAAGCACCGTACTTTCATACCATTTTTGTTCTTCTCAATCTTATTGTCAATCAATGTGGAAAGATTAAGCATGCACTTACATGCAAAAATCAATTCATCCACTCCAAAAGACAATATTTTAAGAAAATTATTAAATACACCACATTTTTTACTAAATACACCACACTATCACCAGCCAGAATGGGTGGGGAAGAGAGATGTGGTGTGTTGTATATTCAGTAAAAAGTGTGGTGTATTTAACAATTCTTTATCTTAAAAAGTTAAAATAAATTGTAAGTTATTTATATCTCTTATAATCCTCCGACAACATTTTAATCTGCAAATTGCATTAATGACATGAAAAAACTCACCATTCCAAGGGTTAGAGTCAATATTGTCATCAAAATCTTGTATTTCAAAATTAAACCAGGTAAGTTATACAAGACTTTTATTCTTTTTGATGATAGATCATAGTGCCAAATATGTATAAAAAATCTAGTAAGAATTTATCAAGATGTAAAGGTAATATTGTATGGTTTTTAGTAATATTGTTTGTTATTAGTATTTAGTTACCGAGTGTAGTGTAGTGATCATATTAGGATAATATGTGGTGTTAGATCTTCTTTGTAGGCTGGTATGCTGACAACCAATGTTCTCAATCATCCTTATCACCTTTGCTACTCAAGGGTTAATTCTCTCACTAATTTGATATCAATTTCAGCCCTAGTATCAACATGGTATCAGAGCCAACTGCTTTGTTCTTCTTTTGCTAGCGACCGACAATTAGATATTTGCCGGTCTTGTTCCTTTCAGTAAGCAGATGATTTCCTGTTAGACGAGAACTTGTTTTCTAGTAACTTAGCTAGCAATGGACAAAGGTTTGAATTTTTCCGAGTCTATGAAGCCATCTAGGCATGACCACTATCTCAATTGGTCTATCCGTCTCAAAACAATTCTTTGCACCAAAGATTGTTGGTATGAGATCATCCACCGACCTATTCTACTTCACAATCTCAATGGCGCTTGTCAGCAAGACATCCGCAAAGCCGTTGTATCAAAGCCATATCTCTGATTGAGGCCGTTGTACATTTTGATATTATACCATCTATTTCAAATTTTGAAAACACTCATGTAAAGCTTTGGACTCACCTTTGTTAATGATATGAATTGCGTAACACACAACGAAGGCTCATTCCATCTCACTTGTTGTACTTGCTTCAACTTGCAGATGGCGATTCTCTGGAAAATTACCTACAACAAGTAGACTCTATCATTGCCTAGCTTGACGACATTGGTTGTAGAGCATCGAGCACTAACCTCATACATCACACGCTAAAGCGATTGATTCCTAGCTACGGCCCTTTTGTGCATAATTTTTTGGGCAAAATGAAGCGCCAGCCTACTCCGTCATTTCAAGATCTTGTTGAACGTCTTCAGTCCATGCAGTTGTTCACGGAGGGGAAGACACAATCGGACGAAGAGTCTAATATTTTTGCTACCATACGTCATAACTTTTGTGCCCGCTCAAGTCATACTCCTTAATCAACTCGGTCTCATGTTACATCAACACCACGGGCGGATTGAAATATGCCACGTTCAGCATGCTGTGATTATTGTAACAGGGCTAATTATCTTGCCGTTGATTGTCACTTACAAAGATTAAACGAGTCCATTGCACAATTGCAGATTCGCGCATCCAACCTTCGTTGCAACAACCGTGATCAAGTTCACATGGTGAAAGAAGAGGATTTAATGATCCATATCTGGAAAGATGCCGAAGTTTCTGAAGAACATCAAGATGTAGAAGCAAATTTCACAAGTGACACCTTTCAGATAGTTGAATTTTATCTTGATTCGGGAGCAATTAGCCATGTCACAAGAGATCATTTTGTCCTATTGTCATTTCAAGTAGGATCTTCATCCGTAGGAGGGTATACTGCCAATGGGGTTCGTCTTTTTGTAGTCGGAAAAGACACTTTGTGTATTGACTCTAATAAATCCGTCAAACACATTTTGTATGTTTTTAGGTCAACAAAAAATTTCTTGTCTGTAGTCCTCCGCACTTATTCATGACATTATACACTCTTTACGCCTTATTCATGTTTCTTTTAGATGACAAAAATCAAACTAATATATTTTTGTACGCAAATAGGTATCCCAGGAGTAGATTGTATAAGATTAAGCCTTTTCATCCTCAATTATCTTAAGAATTCAAGCAACTACTGACAAAGGTTCATGCAACATTATAACATTTCAAGCCTCTATACTATCTTGATTTCGTTGGGATTACTGAAGATAATCCGACTCTTGCAACTATACCGTCCATAAACACGATAAACCTTTAGCATCATCAATTTTGTCACCTAAATTTCTAGACGGCACACCACATTGACGCTTGGACACATCATTTATCTGTCTATTATACAGGGTAGTGTTGGTACAAATGCAGATGCCAATGATGTTGTTACCAGTGGAGGTGCGAGTAGCAGCACCAATGAAGGCATCAGTGAAGATACCGAGAGCGGTATTAGTGGAAGTACCAGTGGAGCTATTGGTGAAAGTACAAGGAGTGATAATAGTGACGGTTGAGTCAGAGCAGGTGGTAGGGATATCAGGAGCGGTACTAGTGGACATTTAGTGGAGACACTAGTAGTGATACTAGTAGCACCTCAGTTGGCAACGTGGATGAAGTTGCTAGTGGCGTGCGTCATTTAGCCTGATTGCAAAGATCTTCAAGAGATTGAGGAAGAAGTACCAAGGGG